ACGATTACCAGTATATATATATAAATAAAAATAGATAAACAAACACAAATAAGATATATACTGCTTGTGCATTATCTGTGATAAAAATATTTAAAATGCTAACTTTTATTAGAATGTCCATATTTTAATTGAATATTGCTTAACAATTAATAACGAAAAACAAATAGATGACATGAAGAATTATTTTTTTAATAAAAAGTCAGCCTGTCTCTGAAAATAAAAGATCCACCAATGTATTTTGTAATTGTTTTCAACTTAGTCCTTAGTTATTAAGCTTAATTTGATGGTTAAAGTAAAAATTTTTGGTCAAACTAATCCTGTTTTGAATTGTGAATATTAGAGTTTAAATTATTGCAGCGACAATATCTTATGCTGGTGATTCTTGGCCTTTCCAAGGCCGTGGAATACCATTTGTGTAATTTTACCATGCAGGTTATTAGCATCAATAAGCAATTCCTTGTTTACTATTCTCACGAAACAATGAAGCAATAAACTTTATTGTGTGAAATAAAATAGCAAATGTGGAATTGTTTAAGGATAAAGTTGCAGTACATTGGAATGAATGTGTAATGAAAACTTTAAAGTCTCTCTTTTTTTTCCCATGGAACACAGGTTGGGAACCACTGCCTTACACTTTCTAAATTGAATTGTTGAAGATTAATCTTTCACTGTATTAGTTTTGTTTTGTATACAAACCTATTGTCTTTCTAAATATGTAACAAACAAATTCAATTGTTTTACTACAGGAAATATTGTAGTTTGTGCCATCATTTGAATGCATAAACTAATTTAAGGTGGTTTTTTTTTCTTAATAAGTATAGAATTTAGACTTTCTTTACATTTTTTTTAATACAGTAGAGTCTCGAAAACTCAGCACTCGATAACCCGGCAGTCCAGATAACTCGGCCACACCTTGGCAGGGCAAAAAAATCCTTAGTTAATTAATTTTCATTATAGACAGCTTTATGCCTCATAAAGTATTTTTCTGAGGTCTGTCTTATCAGGTAAATTACTGTACACAGTGTATTCATTAATTTTCATTTTCATGTAGTAAAGGCTCTATGCCTTCATAAAGGACGTACTTTTCCTTTGTTTAAGGGTATTTGGGCAGTTTATTCTCTGTCTCAAGTAAACAATACATACAAATACAGTACAGTATTTTCTGAGCAAGCACTCGTACTAATTTTTTTTTAATCCCATTCCCGATAACCCGGCATTTTCACAAACTTGGCCACCCTTCAGTCCATATTAGGCCGAGTTTTCGAGACTACTGTATTAATAAACGTTATAAATTCTTATCTAGTTTGTAAAATTGGAAATTTTCAAGTTTTGATTTCATAATTAAACCTATTTCATTTGTTTTAAATTAAATTTTGGCTTCAATTCTTTAATTGAAGAAAGCCACACGAATGTTCTAAAATATGGCGGTTTCAAAAGTCTTGTCACCCTTCAAATAAAATATAATGTACTGCAGTAGAATGAATACAAGGTAATATTCAATAACATTTGAGTAGGCTATGTATTTTGTTAGATTACGTTGTTTAAGCATCAAGATTATTATGAGCATTGTTTTTGCAGCATTCCAAGAAGGCCCTTTGTGCAGACATTCACGAGCCTTTATGCTTCCACACTACAGGAGCTCACATTGGTCATCCAAAATAAACAATGAAAAAAAAAAATGGGTGACAGGACTTTCAGACCACTCTGTACATAACAGAAAAGTTATCGTTATTGTTACTCATAAATAATCTGATATTTTTTTATACTAAACAGAAAAGGATTCTAAATTTTATTTAATATTTTTATTGACAATTTACATTTAATTGATGATATAAAATAAATGCAGTGGAGGGTTAAGAATGAGAAATTTTAATTGGATTTTTTTAGCTTAGAGGTAATTTTTATTTATTATAAGAAAAGTAATAAGTTATAAGTATAAGTTAAAAGTAAAGTTATAAGTATGAGACATTCAAACTGATTGAATTTATCATTTTAAACTGTCAAATTAAAATCTCATTTTAAATGAAAGCCAAATCTATTTGTTTTTCACAAAACCAATTAATTGTTAAACAATTTGAATGTATTCTTATTAATTAATGTTTTTATGTTAAGTGATTGATTTGTAATAAACCCGTTCTGTATGTAAAATTCGATAACATGTATTTTCAACGAGAAATTTTCATAATTCATGCAAAATCGACGATCGATTTTCATTTACGACTTTAAAGTATTGCGATTAACAAAAGTTTAATTGTTCCTTTCGTTTAGTTTTAATATAATACAGAAACTATGCAAGCCTAAAGAACAATCTGCAGAATTATTTTATGTTAGACAATGATTGTCATAAATCAAAGAATAGAATTTATTGTTGTTATGCACAAAATTCATTTCTCAAAGAATATTGTTGTTGACGAGCGGGGGAAAAGCATTTTTCTTTTTTTTTTTAGACTAGCGTAGTGCATGGAAATGCAAATTTTATGGTAATTTTATCAATGTATACTTAAATTGTAAATTTGGAATATGAAAATATTCTATCTGCACATTGTTTTTGTTAAAATGTAGAATTGTCATAGATAAATATTGTAAAAAGAAAAAATTGAATTATGTAAAACAAATTAAATGATTAGTTTATTCATGTTGTAATTTTGTAATAATTATTAGTCTTTTGTTTGGCTTTTTAATAAAAATGCTAAAAAAATAGTTTTCTGTCTTAAAATGTGTAATTTATACACGTTTTAAAATTAATTAAATGCACTAAAGCTTGCGTGTTGTCACAGAATGGTGACGGTATGGTTTGGACAAACACTTAATTTTTTTGGGATGTAGTATACAATTAACAGCTTCAAAACCCAATGAAAAATACAAAAATAAATATAAGAACTGAATTAAATAATCAGACAACTCAAACATTTTCAAATCAGCTTAGAACTGTTCTCAAGTGCTCTAAAATTCTGAATTTGGAACACTTCAGAACAGTTCTAAACTTGGACGATTCCAAAATCAAATGAATATTCAAACATCTTGGCTTCTACTTGTCATCTGAGATCCACAGTGACCAGAGTCAATTTCCATATAAATACAGTAATTCCTTGGTATTTGTTGATTTTTCCACAAAAAAGTCATCTCAGATTTTCTCGGCATGCCCACGTGACCTTGCTGCTAATTTTGGGTAAACAAGGGAAACCCACACGTTTTCCTGCTCAGTATAGTGATGTTTCTCTTTGTGTGAGCATTATCCTGCATGCCTAGCCAAACAATTCCATTGCTTTCCTTTCCTTTTAGCTCCATCATGGGATCAAAGAAAGTTTCCAGAGCCAGTAGCCCTTCAAAGAAGGCCAGGAACATGATCAAGTTGAAGAAGGAAATAATTGAAAAATACAAGAGTGGCATTAAGATTGCTGTAATTGGCTGCATATAAGGAAAGTCGCCATCCCTGATAAGTTCCACTGTGGCAAAAAAGTAAGCAATAAAGGAGGCTAATGTAGTGAAAGGCATGAATGTGCTAAACAGAAGGTGAATGTGTGAAACAGAGATCGCAAACAATTGAAGATGTCAAACAGTTGTTATTAATTTGGATCAATCAAAAACAGTTAGTTGGTGATTCTGTTTTGGAAACCATCATATGTGAAAAGGCCAGACTGTTGTATGCCAATCTCATTAAGAAAATGCCTGGGACAAGTGCTAGTGTACTTGGTGATTTTAAGGCCATCAGAGGCTGGTTCGAGAAATTCAAGGTGCACTGGTATACATAGTGTTATACTAGGCATGGCAAAGGTGTGAGTTCAGACAAGTCTGGGGCCGAAAAATTTGTGTCCGAATTCAAAGATTATGTAGAGGATGAAGGATTCATTCCCCAACAAAGTCTTCAACTGTGATGAAACTGGCCTCTTTTGGAAGAAAATGCCAAAGAAGACATTCATTATTCAGAAGGAAAAGGCACTTCCAGGACATAAGCCTATGAAGGATGGGCTAACTCTTTTGTTGTGTGGTAATACTAGTGGTGATTGTAAAGTGACCTTACTGATGTACCATTCAAAAACTCTTAGAGTGGTTAGCAGAAACAATGTGATTAAAAGTAAATTGTGTGTGATATGGAGGGCAAACAAGAGGCCAATTTTCATTGAGTGAATGAATGAAGTGTTTGGCCCGAATGTGAAAAAATACCTCAAGGATAATTAATTGGTTGCCCCTTAAGTGTTTCCTGGTAATGGACAATGCTCCTGCACATCCTACAGGTTTGGAAGACATGTTGTTGGAAGAGTTCAGTTTTATCACAGTGAAATTCATGCCCCCTAATACCACTAGGGTTTGTCGGTTTTTAAAAACTGGTTTTTCCAAGTAAAAAAACCAGTTTTTGAGCCTACACTTAAAACATAAAAATTAATTAATTATTTGATTAAAAACATCAACATTTTGACATAAAATCATCTCTGGCATAAAATGAGAATATTGTTAAATACTAAGTTTTGTAAAACTAACTAGAAAACAAAAAAAAATCCTCCTATGCCTAAAAAGTGTCCAATTCGGCTCAATTCAAGCTCTGAATGAGACAGTTGGGACCATATCAGAGCTGTATGAGTATATCTATAAGAGCAAAAAAATCAAAGAAACCATACCTCTACAAGTGACCCTTCACAAATTACAGCCCCCAAAATCAGGTCATGCTAGATTGATTATATAAATATCTTCAAGAACTTGAAAAAGTGACTTCATCCAGCCCTAAGAAGGAGTTTTTTAATATTAGAGGGTACAAACAGAAGAACAAAAAATTTAGATTTATTATTTAATGCTTTAAAAACGATAAAACCCAGCTCAGTAGCAAGTGAGAGTTTTTTCTATTTCTGCAATTTTGTGTGTAAAATAAGAACACATTTGAGCAATAGATCTATAGACATTCTCTGCTTTCTAAAATCATATTTTCTTAAGAAAAATAAAAAATAATTTTTTGCAGGCATTCATTGTTGTTCTTTTTTCTTTATGGTTTTCTATGGAGTAAATTTTATAGTTTAATGTGATATTATAGCATAGAATTTTTTTTGTTTTGTTTTCTGTAGACATTGTTCAATTTTATTTTGTTATATTTTTGAAATGTTATAAATATTAATAAATTTAAAAGTTTTAAATGAAGCTGAAAATATCTCTTATCTCCATTTTTTGGGTAAAAATTCGAAAACTGGTTTTGTAGAAAAATTGAGATTTGAAAACCGTTTTTTTTTCTTTTGTTTTAAATGTCTGTTTTTGTATAAACCTTAAATATCACACCATTCATCTAACCCATGGACCAGAATGACATTTCAAATTTCAAGAAACTATGCAAAAGCAATGTTTCAAAGGTGTTTTGAGGGGACATCAGATACAGAATTGTCCTTAAGAGAGTTCTGGAAAAAACATTTCAACATTCTCAACTGCACTATACTCATAGATAAGGCTTGGCAGGGAGTGACATCCAGGATGTCACTCCCTGCCAAGAACTCTGTCTGGAAGAAATTATGGCCAGAATGTGTGCATGAAAGAGATTTTGAAGGATTGAGCCTTCACCTGATGACCCTGCACATGTGATGCAGTCAATTGTTGATCTGGGGAAGTCCATGGGGTTGGAGGCAAGTGGTGAGGCTGTTGATGACTAAACTTATCATAATATTTTTTTCTCAAACCAGGGCAATTTTGAGAAAATACACACAATAGAAAATAAAACCTACTAGGATAAGTACCCATGATTGAAAAACTTAAATAAAGTTGTTAACAAAAAACGAGTTAAAGCAATTTTTAATAACTCAACTTCTTAATAGTAAGGTATATTCAGTTATTAATAATTATTACTAGTGTAAACTTTATTTAAAATTCTTTGTCACTTAAATCAGTACCATTAAAATATGACAATATATTTGAGGAAGTTCCTTCTGCTGCTACTAGGCTTGCCTTATGTTTCACACATTTTAAGTGATTTTAATGTCTGAACGTCCACCATGAGTTACTGAAAATTTTGAAAAGCACAGTTCACATTTCACTTTGTCATTACAATCACAAACTTTTTCAAAAATGGATAATCCTTTTTTAATTCATCAGTAAATACATGATTTCTTTTTGGCATTTTTGAGATTAAATTAATTTAATGCACAGCACAAAATAATTTCAAATGCCGACTGGCAATTTAAACTTGACTAAGGTAGGACACGTGGAACAATGATGTGGCCAGTGTAACTTTCAGTGTTGCCAACTCTAATTGAAACAAAATATCTAAAAAACAAAATTGAAACATCTGGATCTCATAGGCTATGTGCTATTATAAATTCTGTGAAAAAATAGCTAGATGAAAAAATAAAACATCTAAATTCATTAGGCCACATGCTATGGATTTTGAGTGAAAACATCTAGACATTAATTAAAAGTACTTAGATCTAGATACAAAATATTTATATTGGCAACAGTGAGAGTAACAGAGGGGATATTTTAGTTGCCAAATTGCTATTTTATCCGATTCTGCACTATTTTTACTTTTTGTATATTCAGCACTTAAAATTTTACCAAATAACTAGGACAAAATGACAAACTGGCCAGGACGCAGGGACCACATCATCAAACCAAGACAGTCCCAGTCAAAGTGGGACATCTGATAAGCCTATGGATGAACCACAGTGAAGAAGTCAGCATTGAAGAGCTGCAAAACCTTCACCTAAAGTACAGCAGACAGCAGGTGAAGTTGCTTCAGATGAGGAGGAAGAGATTGGAGAATGTGTGTTCTTCAGAGATTAAGGACATCTCCATGTGGTGTAAGGTACAGGGGTTTGTGGAGAAAAATAACCCAGACAAAGCTGTTGGGTCGTGTCTGCAACTTGTTTAATGATAATGTTTTGCCCCATTTTAGACAAATCTTAAAAGGGCAGCAGAAACAGACTTCTTTGGACAGCTTTCTTGTGTGACATGGATCCATTGACTCAGAAACTGGTCCTAGTGTCAAAAGACCAAGAAGAAAAGTGACCGTAGATAGTGCCTTGATACCTAAGGTCCTTATGGAGAGGGATTTCCGTTCTAAACAATGATATCTGCACCTCTCTCCCCTCCTTGCAGACTTCCATACACCAAGAAGAGTCTTCAGAAAGGTAAATGCCATGTTAAATGTTAATTTATTCTTTACATTAATATAAAATGAATATAAAAGACTAGTTTCTTATTGTTTAGTATTAAACACTGTATTTATTCTCTATAAAATGTTTTTTGGTATGTATTTTGGAACGTATAGAACAAATTAATTGGATTTACATTGATTCATACAGAAATAATTGCCTTGGTTTTTGCCGGTTTCGGATTTCGCCAATTGCTTTCAGACAGATTATCGACAAAAACCAAGGTATCACTGTATAAAGATTTATATTGCAATGTATGCATACACATTTTTTTTATTTTCATAAGCAAAAACATGAATTTTAAGATTTAATAGAAATGGTAATTTGTAACGATAAATTTTATATTTATATAAATGTCGTTTGAAGATTTAAGTAAAAGTCATTTAAATTACTTTTCTATCAAAATTTTGCCTGACATATTATACTCTGGTTAATTTTTAGTACTACCGAATTTCTTTAAAGCATCTCAAATGGCCCAGTTTTATGAATAACCAAAATAGATAATCGTCTAAATGGTTAAATGGCAATTTTGTGCCAATCAATCATCACTAACATAACTGACAATCTATTATTTTTTCCATAATAATGCTTTATGGAAATACAGCAGTTTACATAAGTCACCTTTAAACTCAAACAGTTCTGATATTTTCTCATTTAAATCTTTCATTCTAAGCATGTCATTTTTTGAAAATTGTTTATAGAATGAAAGATTTGAATGAGAAGTATGACATTAAAATGTATGGATTGAAACAAGCCATTCGATTTTGAAGATTGTTTACATAAATCAAAGAAGGGAACGGAAGTCTTCCCAAAAACGTTTGATTAAAAATAAAATGGCTCCTTAATTAACAGTTTGGTGTGCTAATAGTGATTAAAATACATGAGATTACTTTAGTAATGACAATCGGTATCAACATTATTGTTACAGTATTGCATATTTAAATGTTTAACATTAATTTATGAAAACATGCAATTTTAATTTTTCAACAAATTAAAAATATGCTTCATTAAAACATCAAATAATTGTTAATTTAGTTAGTTATATTATGTATAACAATCAATACATTTATATGTATAACCTCTTTATTCATTTAAAACATTTATATCTATTTCAAACTCTTGATAAGATCAACTTATGCCAAGAGCTGCACCAATGAGCATGACGAAAACCTTTTAAAACAATTATTCACGCTTAGTTTGGTTGGTATTTTAAATTGAACTGATTATATACTCATATTTGTGAAAATTGCAACACTATGAGGGAATTGTCAGAAATTAATGAAATTTATTCTGCATATTACTGATATTAGTGGTACAAATAAATGATCAAATTTACAAGACAAAAAAAAAAAAAAAAAGAATGTCAGAAATCAGTACTTTGTGTGTCCACCGCCATTCTGAGTGATGAGAGTCTGTACATGTTGTGGCATTGAATCATTGATTCAGGTTCTGAATGTAATCCTGGAGAATGACATTCCAGATGGCTTCAACTTGACGCCAAAGTTCAGTCTTATTGTGTGCCTCACCAGCTTTATGAACAAATTGCCGACCAATGAAATCCCAGATATGCTCGATGGGCGACATATCCGGGAAATAAGCAGGCCATGGAAGAAGCGAAACCTGTTGTGCACTGAAGAAGGCTTGTGTAGTCTGAGAAACATGTGCATGGGCATTACCCTGCTGAAATACAGCACCCGGAGTGCATCGAAGAAGGGGGAAGATCTCTGGCTCCACAATTTCCTGTATGTAGTGATCACTGTTGAGGTTGCCCACAATGTGCACTAGATGGGATTGACAGTTATACCCAACAGCTCTCCACATCATGATGCCAGGCATTTTAGTGGTATGATGCTGGATAACACACTGTGGAAGCAGACGTTTCCCTCTGTAATGTCTGACTTGTACTCTTCCATCATTGTATTGCAGATTGTAGCGAGATTTGTCAGAAAAAACAACTTGTTATCACTGGGTATGCCACGTGCTGTGTTGCTGAGCCCATTGAAGTCAAAGGCGTCTGTTAATCAGCGAGACGGGAATCCTGTGTAGAGGAACCCTTGCACACAGTTCATGCTGCAGCAGATGGTGATGAACCGTGGAGCTAGACAACAAAACACCTGTAGCCATGCTCCAACGTTGTGCCAACACACGAGAGGATGCTGTACGGTCCATCACAGCCATGCGGATGAGGTGTCTGTCATCTCATGCTATTGTGCTATTGTTTGCCCCACTGTCAGGTTTTCACCTTATTTGGTTTTCCTCTATCCATTTCTTCCAAACATGCATCACTGTTGTGGCATTACACTGCATGCGAGCTGCAATTTCTTGATACAAAAATCCACCCTCTCGCATACAGACGATGCGGTCTCACACAAACTCTGTTAGTTATTTGTATGGCTTCCTCTGCTTTTGATGAGGCATATTGACCACTAATGAAACATTTACCATGGACAGAGGAAGGTAAACGGATTTCAACGCATCTTTAATGCATCTTTACAGTCCTTTATATACCTGGAACAAGCGGTTGATAAGGAGCCGGTTCTTGTTCCACGCATGTGCAATTGCTTTGTAATTCTACTCATTTGCATGTCTTACCTCATTTTACATTTCCTTCATGGTGTTGCAATTTTCACAAACATGAGTGTAGTATATTATAATGTGTTTTATTTGATCTATTGTTTTAATAGGAAGAAAAATTTTCCATTTGATAATAAATGTAAAAAAAGTCAAAAATATGTTGTTAATGAATTGTAAAATTTAGAATCTTATAAATGTTCTAGCAATATTAATTTATATTTTTTGTTTTAGTAATGTGACAAAATTGTTTAATAAATATTAAGCATATTATATTTTGAAATTATTAGAAAAACAAATGAATTTATGAATCAATCGTAACCACATTTTTGTATTACATTTATCAAAAAATTACTTATACACAGTCAATTTTTTAAAATAAAATTACAAACCAAGAGAATATTTCACAAATTTCATGAAATTTATTAAATATTCACATAATAATTTACACTGTGACATATGCACCCCATTCTCCACATTTTAGAGAGAATTCTCCAGCATATTTGATTTTCGGATATCTGCATCTACAAATATGACATCTATTGCTTCAATAACAGTCAACATAGTTCCGGAAAGACTAGACTATACAGTAGTTCATACTTGGCACTTAACAATATACACACACTGGAGGGAAGGCTAAGTCAGTTAATTGGCACGGCAACATTTGTCGCTCAAGAAAAATGCATAGAAAATGGTGAAAAAAAGTCAAAGTGATGTTCCCTTTTCTTTGTTTGAGAGTTCAAACTATCTTGTAAAATCCCAACAGACTGGTGGGAGATATACTATACAATTCGTTTGTTAAAGTGTGGACAATTTCTGAAGCAAGAACTCACTTTGACTAAGTCTTGAATCAAATAATGCATTCTCGTTATTGCTCTTCGATGAGAAACAACATAAAAAAAGTCATTCGAACTCCTACCTCAAGATTATTTGTTACGGATTTCTCTTATTGCTTTCTTCAATTTCTTTCAAGAGATCTTGATATTCCTTGGGAGTGAGTTCAATGTCGTCAACTTGGCGTTTCTTTCTTTTAAAATCATCTTGACTGGTGACTTCTATACACAGAACAATGAATGAATTATTGCATGAATATTTTTCTTGGTCGAGTAGTTTGTTCCTCAGTAGTGAACTGGCCAGTCCGACTTTTCCCAGACTGCCCGAATTCCATGCGTCACAGTAGGATTCCATTACTCTGACACCATGTCTGTCTGCACCGTGCCACACTAATTTCTGAGGCCTTTTGAATAAAAAAAATATTTAATTATAATAAAATTAACTATATTAAAATTACTATTATGTATTAGATAAGTACCAAGTATTGTCTGAAAGGATATTTCTGCCGTCAAAAGAATAAATACGGGGCGGATGAGGGAAACTTCCACCTTCTCCCGTGAAGAGATCCTTCCATGAATTAAAAATAACTTCTCCCTATAATTAATTTTTTTTTAAATGTAAAAAACCAAATTCAAAACTGAATATAGACAAATGTTATCTATTTTAGAATAAGTTTTAACATACCTTGATATTTACAACAGGGAGATTTGCATCTCTAAACCTGACTATACTTTCTAAATTTTGTACTCTGGACGTGAGGAAGGCCCGGAATGTGCCTCTGAGATTTGCACGACGAGACTGTCGGTAACATTCGTAATCGGCTCCTCTGACTCCATGCATATCTCCCGAATATGGCTGATTTAATGCCGCCATGCGTAACTATTAAAAAAAAAAAAAAAGGGCTTAAAATGACATTTATAAATAATACAGTTGGAATCTCATTACATAATTAATGTTTTCATTTGAGAATGCTATAGTAATATAAAAATATGATAAAGTATTTTAATTAAAAAAATCAATTATAGATATTCTTGTGCATATTGAGTGAAATGGAATAGTGTATATAGATCTCTGCTAATATTGTAAGATTTTTCTAAACAGAATTGTTAAAATAGGAAATATTCTACATCTGTATAAATAGTAAATCCTATTTATATAAATGTCTTTGTCTATTAAGGAAACAATACAATTTTTTTTATAAACAAAAAATGACTGCTTTACTATTCCTCCAAATTTTCATACAGACAAAAATAATTGAAACAATGCATAAGTATTGGTTTAAAAAATACAAATGGTGGGATATTATGTAAAACAGTATTTTAGTTATTGTACCAATATCTTTCACAGTGTAGAAGTGCAAAACTNCCATTTCTATTAATATAAATAATACTATAAACTGTCATTTTTTTTTATTATGTTATTAATATTAACTATTTTTTCTATACAATAAGTGTTCATTGTTAATGAAAAAGTATCAAAAATTTATGATGTTAATTCAATTTTTGTGGGACCTTGACTCTTGGGGGCCCAGGGCTTAAGCCCTATTAGTCCATATGTAAATCTGCCCCCGGAGATACTGTTAACATTCAATTGTATTTAATAAAACTGGTTAATGGAATAGTAAAAAAATAAAGACTATCCTTTTAAGCCAGCAAAAACAGCATTTACTACCACAAACCTTTAATTCAGAAAATAAAACATTTGTGACAGTAGTACTGAAATTCTAGTTGTATGCTTATTAGACTTAAAAATGTTATTTACTTGACAAGTACTTTTGATCTAATACTAATCATTCAGGCCTATATAACAAAATGAAACAGCAATTCAAATAAAATGTATCAAATTATGAATTTAAAATGTTTTTAGAAATTGTAAAAAATGGCATTCAATATATGCCAATAAAAAATTAATAATAAATAAGTTAACAAGTAAATATATAAAGTATAAATAAAAGAAAATAACTTAACCTTTATAATGAAATATTGTATATGACATTTTTTATTTGTATAGATAGCAATTTATATACCGTATGTATTTTCAAGTATTTGAAAAAAATCTGTTTAGCATTGATATATCTTTAATATAGAAAAGAACGTAACATTAAAAGATATATTAATGTTAGACATGTATGCTTTGCCAGATGCTTGAAAATGCATAGTAAATATAGTATTTCATTACAAGAGTTATGTTATTTTCTTTTATTTATACATATTTAACTGTTAATTCATTGATTAGCCTGTACTGAATGGGTATTTATCTACTATTTCTTCCAAAATTTTTAAATTCATAATTTGATACAATTTATTTGAATTGCTGTTCCATTTCATTATGTAGGCCTCAAGATGATCAGCATTATATTGAATATACTTGCTAATCAAATATTATTTTTGCAAGTTTAAATGTTCGATATTAACAATACATTAAAATCCTATGTAATATTATGAACATATTGAACTAAATTACTCATAAGTTTCTCTTCATCAGAAATATAAATGAAATCGAAAATTCAATGAGAATTTTCAATTTAATCACTAAAAGAAATACTGTATTATTAAAATTAAATTTAAATTACAACTTTTTTACTGATAGCATTTATTTTAATTTTCACTTCATTTTGATATTGTTATAATAATAAAATAAAAACTTTACGGTTAATATTAATTTAAAAATAGAAAATCTCAAAAATTAAATTAGAAGAAATATACTGTATGTACATAAGCATCCTTTTCACCAAAAAATCCAATTTAAATTAAGAGATTCACAGTGTTATTAATGGTTCAAAAATCAGGCTAAAAATTTAAAATAAGCACTTACTTTTGCCTTTTTTATTTAAGGCATCTTCAGTAAATTGAAACATGTGGTGAATTGATTGAAGTTATAAGTAAAATTTTAAAAAATTTGATTCAGCATGCTTATAATATTTGTGCTCTAACACTAAAAGATTAAATTTATTGAACAGATAAATAATAAATTTTTGTAATATTTCTAAATAAATTCAAACTGAAAAGCTAACTCTATTGTCAGACAAATGTTTTCGTATGTTTCCTAAGTATAAGTAAATTTTAAAATAATTGAGGATAATAATGAACAAAAGTTCAGGCGATAAAATGACAAATCATCATTTTATCGTATGACAATAAATTACAATTCAAAAAATAATTCTGCTCTAATTACAATCATTTGAATTTTATCAGTTTTCATGTCAAAGGACAAAAGATTGCTGACTACCGACAGAGAGAAAAATAGAACTTCTGTTGACTTTTCTCTGTAAACAAAAGAAAATGGAGTTCAGTAGCAGTGCATGAAGTGTTGTACACTAAACCATTAGAGTAGACCCTCCCTATAACACTGTAGATAATTCCATGTTGTATGAGTCACTTAGATTTTACAAATACGTGAGCTGTTCACAGTCGTATTTGTAAAATCTAAGTGACTCGTACAACATGGAATTATCTATAGTGTTATAGGGGGTCTACTGTAATTGCCATTTTCCACTCTCACAAAGTTTGAATCGGCTTTATATCTGGTCAACTGGAAATGAGGCCCTCTTTCACTAGGATAATGCAATTTTTTTTTTCTCAAAAGACACTGTGGCCAGGTTGGCCTTTTACAAGCATCTTACAGTAAATCAACAAAACCAACAAAAAAAAAAAAAAAAAACAGGATGTGAGATGAGAAAGAAAATTAATTAAGAACAAATAATAAGAAATAAAACAATTAAATTGGGAAATTTTAGATAAGTCAGGTGAACAAGATGGATGAACACCTTCCAATTTTCATATATTATTCAAACAACAATATAATTTTATAAATCTTATTTTAAAAATGCAAAAACTTTCTGTCAACCCATGTTTGGAGAAAAATTGATTTTTTTTTTCATTTACTGAAGTGATAATATAAATTGCTGATTAACTGCCTATGGCTTAAATTTTTGATAATCATCATAAGAGTCAACATAATACTAGTAGAATCTATTGGAAAAAGATCCAAACAAGAAAGAATTTATAAAAGCAAATAATTCTAATTATATCCATTGTGCTCAGGGTTTACACATCATTCTGTATAAGTTCATTATCGTCTCATAATCAGATTTTTCCTAATGCAAAAATGGAGAGAATATTAAATGTTAAAATTCTATATGCAACTGTTTTTACATATTTAGATAATAAAAACATTGAAAATCATTAAATATATTTCATTTTTAAAGCTATAGTTCTATAACTATGAACTACTACTTTAAAAGTTTCTTTTTATAAATTTAATTTTAAAAAAAATTAAGATTTAGCCACAAATATTAAATATTTTTACATGTCTTCAATTTATAATACTGTAGTAATATTCTTATATTCTGTCAAATTTAAATAAAAAAATTTTTTCAGGTGTAATAAAGCACATACCTTTCTCCTTATCTATGCATTAAAAAAATAGATAAATATAAAGATTATATTCTAACATTAAAATACAATTAATACTTTTTATCCAAATATTATAAACAGATATCTTACCCTGGGTGCTTTTTCTAATTTCAAACTTCCTACTGCTGGACTTAATGGTCCAAATGTTGTTGTACTTGGCTAAAAATATTTTCAATGCTTATTAAATATTAAGAATCACTTATTATAAATTCTATAAAAATCAGGAAATGAAGACTTACTGTTGTTGTTATTGAAGGTAGTGGAACTAAGGATCCCAACTATAAAATAATTTAATAATTATTGAATTACTATAATGTTATGGCACCTTTTTATGATAATGTATTTGTTTGTAACAAAGAAAAATTAGAACTAATAGAGATTAAAAATAAGTATGTAATTAAGTTATAGTCTGATGATTTAAATCTATATAAAACATTAACTGCTTCAAAAATTTCAACTGTCTATGTATTCTTTAATATTGGTGATTTCCTTACAATACTTTTATTATACAAGTATAAATTCTGAATTATTTAACAATTTGGGGTTAATGTATTATAAATATTTAATTAAAAAGACTGTTCACATTCTTACATTAATTTGTAAATAGGGATTGTCCAAAAATTACATAATGTTATTTTTATACTTTTTAATTACTTTTTATCCCATTCTCCTTATAATTCTCCATAACACTGTTGTACATATCTACTCCCAAAATTATGTAACACATATCCTCCATCAACTCCCTTGGTTGTTTTGGCACAGGATACCAAACATTATGTTACTTTATTAATTACATATATAACATATAAAGCAATGACATGAACAATATGGTTTACTATGCAATACTTCTGAAATAAAAATGAATTGTTCTGTTGAAACCTTAACATTACTTAACATGTTTGTAAATACCCCAATCTGCTTGTAACTCATCATGATGATTTCTGCATACCTACCCATCAAATCATATTTGCAATACATATAATTATATAATTTTTGGATGGCCCTGTACCAGCTAGGTTAACTAGAAGTAAAACACAAGTATTCTGAATTACTGACTTCTGTTATTGGCAATCATTTTTAAAGTAGAATTTTACAGTCCATAAAAAATATAAACTATTACATGGGTTTAGAAATCTGTCTTATGCAAGTTTTAAAAACATTTGTAAAAATATTGTTAAATTGTCATGTTCTTTATTTTAACAATCATCCAGTTTTGTTCCAAATAATATTTATAACCTGTTATAGAAGATTAAATACATGTTTAATACCATATTCTTCATAAACAATATTAAACTCCATTATATTATTTTGTCTAATTAAAAATGTAATTATGGTAATTTTCTTTTGCTGTTGTGACAATAACATTCTAATACCAAAAAATTTTTTCTCTTTGTTTATCATTTCTAGAATTTTGTCTCTTTCTAGGCTGCAGGACAAATTAACAACACTGGGAAGAAGCTACCCTGATAATATGTAAGAGTCTTAACCAGCAAACTAGAGGTCTCTGTGTTTTTACTTGGAGGAGTGAGCATAGCATGAGCAAGGATAGGACAATTCCACAAGGAAGCTTGAGAATGGAGTAAATTTGTTCTTTTCATTTTCATCTAAGATGAATTAGAAAAAGGAAAGTAGAATCTTAGATATCATTGGAAAGAAGACCAAGAACAAATTTCACAATCACTGGTGAGTTAAAATTTTAAGAATCTGCTATGGCCCATATTGAATCTTCCTTTCTTTTCATAAACAATTACAAGAAATACCCTTTACTTCAAACTCCTGTCATTCATATCGAAGTAGAATACATAAAAAAATATCATAAAAAAAATATTAAAAAATTTCAGAAGAGATTTGGGACACTAGCTCCAATATGAGTGGCATTTTGCCAATAACAAACATTTACAATATCCATATTTTAAATTATAGAATATTGACATACCAAAATTGATAAAATATTGAATATCGCTATTTTTGTTAATAATAAGCAACACTCTTTCTGTTGGAAAGAAATGAAGAGCTTCCAAAAGAATATTTCAAAGGATGTGCTACTATATGACTTCAAGGACTAACAGAAACAATAGCAGAAGTGCAATAAATTCCGTGGAGAATAAGAGGGTAAAAACAGTTTCAATTTGTTTTGATTCATGATATATATTTTGACTTTTAGAAAATTAGAACTATCTCTAAAGTAAAATTGAAATATATTATTTCTAGTTAAAACTTCATTTAAATTGAAATTTTTTCTGAAGTTATTTGAACTGAACACTGCATCTATTCTTTGAAATGTTAAAAATTCATAAATATTTTTTTACTTTGGTATTAATATTTCAAGTATTGCAAAAATAGTCACAGTACAAGTAATTTATTAGTAGTAGTTTTTTTAATTCTCTATATTGTTTCTCTATATTTAATCTCTGTTTTGATCTTTTTGATATTTAATCTTCTGTTTTGATTTGCATCATAGCATTTTCTGATTCTGTAATTTTGGAATATAAAAGAGAAAGAAAATATTGGAAATAATGCTGTTTAATACACTCCTCAATGGCAAATTTGCAATGCTATGAAAGAAAATGTGCAGAGTTACAGAATTAATAAGAAGATAAGGGTACCTGAGATATATAAATGATTAAAATCTGTAGTGATCAGTGATGTGGATAGCATTTGAAGGTGAAAAAAGCACTACTGCCTTGAAAGCAAAAGTTAGAACAGTGTCTGCAAAAATTCTAGCAATGAGTTGCATAACTTTCCCAGCAAACAAATTTTGTTTGCTGGGAAAGTTATGCAACTCATCTGTTTGTGGCACTCATAACAATGGTGCCACATACACTATCTGTTATGAGATTTTATTAATAAAACTTATTATATTTTTAATTATTATAAAATGGTAAAAAGCTTAATTTTGAGGATAGCGATGAGTTCTATAAAATGTTGTAAATTCTAATAACTAAATTTGTCATTAAGTCCAATCTCATTCAAGATATGACATATGATCCCCCATTTCCTCCTCCCTCGATCTTTAACTACCAAAATTTAATAGCCTGAATGCCCCTTATATATAAATTACCATGCCAAATTTTGTTTTTTAATCGTTACCTCATCCTGAGATATTAAACAGAATAGATGCCAATTCACACACAACTATGAAAATTTTTTCCATTTTTTTTTTAATTTTTTGGGTTCAAGAAGTCTCAAAAACATGCAGATTTGAAAAAAATTGGAGGATCAAAGTTGACACAATCCCAATAGTTTCTCAAGTCATATACATAACAAGTTGGGAAAGTAAAAACTGCATACTCTGTCACACAGGAGATTTGGACCAGAATGTCAGCACTGTACAATGCTATATGTTGCAGTAAATTTAAGAACACCCAGAAATATGCCAACAAGAAAGTTGACGTAAAGACAAGTTTCAGAGTACACAAATTGACACATCAGGAACATGGCAGTGTGTAAACCATTTACTACTGTGAATGAGGTTACAGCTAAGTTGCAAAATCTGTGTTGTAAGTGTATTCATACATTCAATTGGGAATTGTTTTCATGATGTGGTCTAAATGCTCGATGACCTGAAAGCATATTATTAATATACTGGGCAATGTAATTATGTAGGATTTTACAAATCAGAACATGTTTCAGCATGATAATTATTTTTAATATCTATAAATATCATATTGACTGTAATGCAAAATGTAGTATATGACTTTTTTATCCAAACTTTTCATATATCTTTCTACATGTACAAAAAGTCATTTAAATTGAAGTCTTGATAAAAAGGAAAGCATGTTTTTCTATTGGTTTTGAATTAAAACTAATGAAATCAAAAACAATGAATTAATCTTTTAATAATTAACTTTTATTAGAAGTCAAATGTCTATTTTAATTAAATTAGTTTTAAGTAATAATTGATTTGACTATCTTCCTGGTCTATTATTAATTAAAGTATCACAATATGATGTAAACATTTTATATTTAAAGAAAAAAAATGAAGATACTTACAGGTACATACTGCCATCCTCCACTGACTCGAACAAGTAGTGTTTCTTCATTTAGTACAAATGCTAAAGTACCCAAAGGACTTATTTCTGATAACCTCAATAATCCCTCCATATTTCTAAATGTGACAGCCTGTGGAAATCTATTCTATAACAATCTTTTATTAAGTAAAAAAAAGTAATAATAATATATCAAACTTACACCTGGTACAACAGTAGTTTTAGATTCTTCTGACTGGCCTGGTGTTCCTGGAGGACCAGGAGGGCCGGGGGGACCTGGAGGACCTCGTACAAAATTGCCTGATTGTGAATAAACATCTCCTGGTAGACCCTATGAAATATGTATATTATTATTATTATTAGATCCATATTATTTGTCTGTACATCTGTAGCTCAGCTTTAACTACTTTTTAACTGGTGGAATGTGCATTGCATTCTGAATTAAAATTTTTTCTATAATAACCGTTTAAAATTTTTAATGGGTTAAGTGATGAAACTCAAAACTTATTATAAATTTTAATGGCTAATAATTTTCTTGAATGCAAATGAATGTGTTTATGATGATGTGGTCTAGCTCAAAATTATGGATTTCATTTTTTTCTCATCATTTTTGATATGAGAAGGATTACAACTAATTAAAATAAAATCATGGGTGATGGTATTTACATTAAAACATATAAATAAAATTTACTGAAGCTACAAAATTGTCTTCTTGTTCTGTCATTACAAATACAAACACATTGGCACCCAAAAACAAATTTCAGTGACAAAAATGACCTTTTATTTGAGGCCTCATTTTATTTTATTTTATGTGCCTCCACAATATAGTAGAGCATCAATTAACCAAAAGCTTTCCAGTCTGCAAATTTAAATTTCCACTAGTGCTGTGGTGCTGCAATCTTTGGCTGTCTTGGGCTACTCTAATATTATTTTTATTGGTGTGCGTGTTTTAGCTGGCAGCACTGGCTCAACCATGAGAGGGTACTTCACGACGTGCCAGGATTTGAACAAGTTTCAACACGGGATAAGTTAATATATTTTTTTGTACATAATCGGTTATCTGAAAAATCGATTTCTGAACAACCCCAGTCTCCAATTGATTTGGATAATCGATGCTCTACTGTACAATGCAAAATGGATAAAAATTCTTCTGGAGTTCATTAAAACCAAATCTTGTCTCTAACTGAAATTTGTTTTTGGAAGTCACTGGTGTTTGTAACAATAGAACAAGACGACAATTTTGTAGCTTCAGTAAATTTTATTTGAATATTAGCTGTAACTAAAACATATAATCTTATTTTCTGAGGTTTCAAATTGACTTCACAATTATTATTTTATTTGTTACACTCCAACTCTCTTTATATAAATAAGAGCATTTATATAAAATCATTTCCACAATGATTCACTCTTCAACAAATTAGGAGCATATTTACCCTAAAAATTCTGTCCATTATGAATTATTTGTTTTAAATGTGAATGTGGTCATTTTGAAACCCCAATGTTATATGTTATTCAATTTTACTCTGAAATAATTGTTTTATATCAATAAAAATTGATGCAAAATACACAGCTCAGATAGCTTTATTTCCTTTTCATTATTATTAATATTTAGTTGAGAGTGTTTATTTTACTACTTTTCATTAACTTTACTCTTTCGACAATCCTCATATAATTAGTGATCTTCTAGAAAATTTCACTGTTCCTTAACAAAAATATTTGTGATTAAGACTAATTAAGATGACTACTAATGCAATGTGTATTTTATTAACACAATTTATAGTAAATTGATGCTAAATATGTTATCAATGATGGCAATAATGTAATTGAATATCTTTTCATACTATGATTGAAAGTAGATATTGTTAATATATCATATCATTGCTGGTTTTTGACATACACAGTAAATAAATATTTTGTAGATGTTTAAAGTGACATTTTTATGCAATACTACATTAAAATTGAACTAAAAAGTTTTTTGACAGTTTAAAATCAATCACGAGGAAAAGTGCGAGGTTAGAGTTAATCTAAAATTTAATTATAAATCTTAATTGTTTAGTAGATCAATTACTTATATAATTTTTTGAATCAATTAATTAATCTGTTTTGCAAGTTAAATTATTGTTAATAACTTATAAAAATAAGACTCATAATCTAAATGATTAAGTTAATATTAACTTAAGAAAATTACTGCTAAAAGTGAATCTTCATTTCTGTATTATAATTTTTTGTAATTAGCAGTGCAATGTAATTTGTAATTGTTTGAAATTGCTTACTACTGCATTATTTGAAGAAATATTAGCATATTATTAATTTATTCTACTTACAGGTGGTCCTGGTGGACCAGGAGGTCCAGGAACTGGAATAAAACCACCACTGATTCCTCCAGTAGATTCTCCAGGTTCACCCTAACAAATATATAAGTATGGAAAGGTATTATTATCACTATGAAAAGAAATTTTATAATTATTTTATTAAAATTTTGAAACAGTAAAAATCTTATGTAAAACAATTATAATAAAGTAAACAATTACTATATTTTAGAAAATCTTCAGTCTGCAATAAATATTATTGATAAAAGATCATTAATTAGTTATATATAATTAAATAATTGAAGGGCTTAAAAGAAGGAGGTAACTAGCAAAATGATGTGAAATGTAAGTTTAAAGTTTTTTATGCATATTACATCTGTACTGCATACCATCTTCTTCCATCATCAAACTGCAGAATGGATGGAGAATTATTTACCATGGAATAAACAGGCATTTACTCTCTTCTTCCACATCACTAGCTAAAATTTCATGAAAATGACAGTTACCTCCTCACCAGGCCCTTCAATTCTTTTCTGAAAAACTATCCAAGTTTTTGTGCATTTTCAAAATTATTTAAAAACATTAAAAATTCAGTAGTTAAGATTATTTTATATTTGGCAATCAGATCATTGGTCTAATGTTAAACCTACTACTGAAGTAAGAATAAATTTGATGTCCTGTTCTACAATTTTTAGTACACTTTTCTTTCTAATATTAGACCTTAAACTGTATTTTACTAAACTAGAGTTAACAATAATAATATATTTTTGTGTTTCTTTTTATACATTCTTACTTTTGTTACTTCAAAATTTTACACGTAATTGAACAAACTTCAATTTCTTTGAAAATTTCTTACATTCACCAACTGCAGTCTATTCTAACATATGAGTTCCACCTTATATATATAGTTTGGTTAAAATTAAAGAAAATGATTCCTTCAACAAACCACTCTAGGAGGAATAAAGCCAGATTTAATTGTGGAGCAAAAGTTCAGATGTTCATTTTTAGCAGGTTGGATATTTTTCAAAACATCTTATACATCAAAAAAATTATTCTCAGATTAAAAGTACAAGCAAAAAAAAAAACTACTCTTTTATAACTGATTTCGAGCAATTTATACTGATGAGGTCCACTGATGAAGCTATAATAGCGAAATGAATTTGGAAGTTCTTAATCTAATTAACAAAAAGATACTATACTTCAACCAAAACCAAATTCTTGTTGTTTATCATTTGCTCACTAGTATAAATTGCTTGAAATCGGTTATAAAAGAGTAGTCTTTTTTTACTTGTACTTTTAATCTGAGAATAATTTTTTATTTTTAGAATTTACAAAAATTGTTTAGAAATATTGCCGATCCCATTGTTTTAATTTTATTGAACAAATCTTATACATCAATTAGTTCAACCAAAAAACTATAGAACAGATATGCAATTTATTCCTGTTTCAATTAATCAAGAAATCATCCTAATCATTTTTCTTCATATGTATCATAAATAACACAAGAACAATGAATTCCTTTGTGTTAAAAATGATTTGAATACAGAACTAACCCTGGTTATTACGTCAAATGAAAGTTTTTAGTTGGCCTTTTTTTAGCTCAAAATATGAAACATTGAGTAATTGTTTTTTTTAACAATTTCACCGATTATGTGACATTTCAATTTGTTTTTCTTCACATTCATTTTGGAAGATGAAATTATAATGGTAACAAAGGAATTCACATTAAAAGAACTCAATCAAATGTTTCATGTCTGCCAATCTGAAGCAAAACATAATAATGAATAATGATGATCATAATGTTGAATGTTCAATGAAAGTGCTGAGAAATAGTAAATGCTGTTCACTGTTATCAAGTCATGTAACAAGAGAAGAAATTGAAATTTTCAAATCAGTGTGTCCTACATCATTTTTATGAAAAATAACTTGTATATTTTCAGAAATATTAAATTCAGCTTTTAGTTTTAAAACATTATCATCTCCTTCCTTTAAAGTACATACATAAATAAATGTCTAGTGTAATGTTTAACATTTAAAATTTTAAGCATAATTTTGGAAAATTGTTGGCAACAATCTTCTATTTTCCATGAGTTTTTCTTCTCGATTATTGTGGTGTTTTTGCTGGCAGCATTAACCACAATAATCAAGGTTTCAATTTAATTTTATTTATTTATGTTGTTAAATATTTTCTCATCATTAAATATTTATTTTAAAAATTTGGCTGACAAATTTACACATTAATAAAAAATGTGTAGAAAGACTAAAATGTCTTCATTTTCACCATGTTGGCCATTTGACTTGTCAATGGAGAACATTTAGACTGTTTTATATGTTTTGTGCAGAGGTGTAGCCTCTAAAGAAAGGTTGTCTCTTCAGTGGAAGATTTGTTCCTGGTGATTGGACATGGTGAAAATGAAGACATTTTAGTCTTTCTACTATTTTTTATTAAATNCATCATTCTGTATAAGTTCATTATCGTCTCATAATCAGATTTTTCCTAATGCAAAAATGGAGAGAATATTAAATGTTAAAATTCTATATGCAACTGTTTTTACATATTTAGATAATAAAAACATTGAAAATCATTAAATATATTTCATTTTTAAAGCTATAGTTCTATAACTATGAACTACTACTTTAAAAGTTTCTTTTTATAAATTTAATTTAAAAAAAAATTAAGATTTAGCCACAAATATTAAATATTTAGTTTTAAACAGTTATAAAATTTCTCTTTGATTATTTTAATTATTACCTTTCTTCCTACAGGTCCGGGATAACCTGGAGGTCCTCTTTCTCCTGGTGGTCCTGCTGGTCCTCTTTCACCAGGTTCACCTTTCGGTCCTATCATGGAACAAGTTTATCACAAACAATAATTTATGAGGAATTTGGTTTAAAAAATGTAAATTTATAATTATTTTATTAAGTATACAAAAGAACTTCTAGGAGAATTTAACAATATGTAAAAGTTTACAGGTTAAATTATTAAAATTACAAATATTATATATTAATTTTATTACTACTACTACTACCATGATTTCCTACAGATAATTCAAGGGCTCTCTTTATTTGAAAGCAAGTACTGTACATGTTATGTGATGTAAACAGTGTGGTGGAGTTGTGTTAAAAGTTAAGAATGTATAATGATACATTCTTTCTTAACTTTTAACTGAAAATTGTGTTTAATAAATTAACAAATACAGAAAGAACAGCACAAGCCTACTGAACATTGCTGAACATGGTCAACTAAGTGCAGGAAGATCTTGCACCCCCTGGCAGTTGAGAGGCATGCAGTACAAAATTCACACTCCTTGACATACACCCCTCATTTTGATGTCTCTTGAGATGTTGAAATGTAGTTCTATGTTTCAGACATTTATAGTACTTAGTATGTAAAGACATTCTGTACATATACACTATATCTAATCAGTAACATAACATCAAACTTCTGAATTTGACAAACTTCTCTTTTCCCAAAGCTTTCGTAAAACAAAGTGTAAGATGTCTTGTACAACTTAAGTATCAAAGAATTCTTTTACCTGTCTTCCATAACTGATCTGTTGGCCTGTCTAGATATCTACTAAGATACAACACACTGTATGCAATATCCAGTCTGCTTGTAACAGAAATGTACATAGGACTGCACACCAATCTGCAAAATGGAATTTCTTCACTCAAATTGGATTCTTCTAAATGGAAATTTGTTTCCATAGGTGTGGCAACTTCACAACACTGTTCCATATTAAATATAGTTGAGATACGGGTAATTATTTTGAAATGACTGATTTTTAATTCCTTTTCATCTCAATCAAATTGCATTCCTAAGAATGACGAGACTTCTCCCAAATCTCTGACATTGATCTCTTTGTGCAGATCATTCATTAATTTGTCAATCTCTGCATCTTAATCTGTGATGATCGCATTGTCAACAAAAATAATCAAGTAGGCACCATTACCTATATACAAACAGAAGTCATACTTTGACCTACAAAAATCTAATTTTTCCATGGCTTTGTTAAACTTGAGAAATGCACCAAAATATTGGAATGACAAGCCGTACAGTGCCCTATTCAATTTCAATGTCCTTTTTTTAATATTTAAACCCTTCTGGTATATTGATGTATATATCTTTTTCTAGATTTCAATTTAGAAAGGCAGTTGGGACATCTAACTGATGTAGCTTCCAGCTGTGCTGTACTGCCACTGGGAGTGAAATTCTAATGTAGACAGCCTACAGACTGGCAGGTAGCTAAATTCTCTTCTTCATAAGGTACTTGGAATCCTCTTGTCACTAATCTGGCCTTCCTTGTTCCATTGTCTTTGATTTTAAATATCCATTTTGTGTCTATAGCTGTTGCCTTCTGGCAAATCTACAAGTGTCCACGTTTGAAGTTTCTGATGAGAGTGTAATTCTTTCTCTATAGCTTTCTTCCACTCTGGTAACTCGCATGCGTCCTGGTACATTTTAGGCCAGGTATGGCCAACATACGGCCCGCAGGCCAGACCCGGCCTGTCTAATGAATTTATGTGGCCCATGATCAATCTTTCAATATTAGGTATTGAAGTCCGAATAGCTCAATGAAAAATTCTGATGCCTAAAAAATAAAAAAAAAGGTCAACATCTCACTGCATTTAGAGTTAACCCTCCATTACAAATCTCTTAAGTACAGCGTAGAGTGTTGATAAAGCATGATAATGTGAAAAATGTATCTGTAATCTCTATCTACAATTCAGTCTCTTCAGGATGACACCACAATGAGATCTCACATTACCTCAAAATCTTCCTAGGGCAGCCTCTGGTTCGACCCGGGAAAAAAGTTCTCTTTCCAATCTGGGCTGGGGGCAAAAACTGCTGGCCACCACCCGTTTTAGGCTGTTCTGTCGATGATAACAAACAATATGCAGTATACAATTCAAAATCATTTAAATGGGAAGTTTTTTTAATGTTTCTTCTAACTTTAGTATTTTCTTTTATAGAAAATATATTTCGTTTTGACTATACATACATAGATGAGTCTTTGTCACTTTTCTGTCCCTTCACACGCAGTACGAGGTAATAACAATTCCACCTGCAAAGTCAACCTTTCTATATAGGCTACCATTCGCCTAACAGGTTCGTAAAACAGTTAATAACATCTTCTAGCACAATTAATAATTACATTTTGTTAAAAAATAAAAAATTGCCAGGACAAATTATTTTCTATAAATGTCATACAGTCGACCCCCCTATAATTACGGTCCCTATAATTACGATTCCTATAAAACTACGAAAAAATTGCTACCGGTATCCGTAAAAAATAGTAAAAGTTCCCTATAAACACCTCAAACGTCATCGGGCAGCCGAACTACTTTCCCGCCGTCCGTAGCGCCAACTATGGAGAGATTTCTATCGTCTGGACAGTATTATATAAATTATATATAAATTAGGTACTGTACATATAATTATATATAAATTATATATAAATTAGGTACTGTATATATAATTATATATTAACTTATTGTAACTTTGTTATAATTAAATATATAATTTCCGCCGTCTAGCGTGGCGCCACGCTACGGAGATTTTTACGCTAACTATCGTCTGTCAGTATGTAAATTAGGTACCGTAAGTCTAATACAGTACTGTAATTTTATACATTTCTTGTGAAAGAAACATTTCTTATTCAACGGCGATTAAAATTATTTATATTAATGATGTCTCCGAAGTTCAAGGAACTATTAGCAGAAAAATAAGTTATTAGAAATCGGCGGCAGTTTGCTGAGCTGTTCCGCGACGAAAACAATGTTGAGCAATGGCGATGTCGAATGGTGACACTCGGTAAGTAATCCTACAATTTTTTGTTTATAGCGTAGTTTATACGGATTATTCCCAAAAAATATATACGTATTTTGGAAATGTTGAGTCGGATTAGTCTAGAATCGATTAATTTTATGGAAGAAAATCTTTCAAACAGCCGTAGTCCGTAAACTTGACACGTGTCGGGTTGTGATTGGAAGGATTCGTAAGAAATCGGATTCCTAGAGAATGGAACGTATCTCTATCTTATAGGGGGGTCGACTGTAATTTGTCCTGGCAATTTTTTATTTTTTAACAAAATGTAATTATTAATTGTGTCATGCTACCGCTAGAAGATGTTATTAACTGTTTTACATTTTACGGCGAATGGTAGCCTATATAGAAAGGTTGACTTCGCCGGTGGAATTATTATTACCTCGTACAGCGTGTGAAGGGACAGAAAATTGACAAAGACTCATCTATGTATGTATAGTCAAAACAAAATATATTTTCTATAAATGTCATAATTTGTCCTGGCAATTTTTTATTATTTAGTATTTTCTGTTTTGTCTTCTCTTCTTACATCTTTTAGCTCGCTGCTGTTATTGTTTCCTAGTATTCTTCCATCATCATCTTGCTCTTCTTCAGTACTGGGTATAATTACAGTTGAGGAAACCACCCCCCCTCTTCTATTTGCTTTGATCTGTCTCTTTCATTCTCTATTTACTCCATACAGCCTTTATCAAATCATACAAGGTCTGTTCAAAAAGTATCGGACCTTTGGTCGGCAAAAATAAATTTATTGATTTTGAGGTTCAAAACCCTAATCCCCTTCAAAGTAGTCTCCTTGTTAATGTATACACTTCTCCCAGTGTTCCTGCCATTGCTGGAAACACTGCTGGAACGCATCTTTTGGAATGGTTATCAGCTGGTCCGTCGCATTTCGCATGATGTCTTTTCTCGACTAAATTTGGGTTCCTTTTAGCGGCATTTTCAGCTTGAGAAATAGCCAAAGGTCACTCGGAGCCATGTGGAGAGAGTACAGAGCGTGACGAACCACAGGAGTATTGTGTTTGGCGACGAAAGCCCGAATCAGATGCGCAGAATGGGCGGATGCGTTATCACGATGGAGCTGCCAAGTTTTGATCGACCACAGATCCGGTCGTTTGCGTCGCACTGTATCGGAAAGACGACGAAGGACCTCCTGGTAGTACTCCTTTGCGATGGTTTGGCCTTGTGATGCGTATTCACGATACACCACCCCACGAGAGTCGAAAAAACTGTCAACATGACCTTTGATATTGCTGCGGACCTGCCGCGCTTTTTTTTTGGCCTCGAGGATCGTCCCCGAAAGCCTGCTGAATCTTGCGAATGATTTACACTCGGGTATCGCCAAGGTTTTTGGCAAAATTTGATGTAATACCGCTGCTCGCGTTGTTCAGTCATTTTTCAGCTTAGTGAAATCCGACGAGAGCGCACTACATGACCTCACTCATAGGCCGATTGCCAACGACTGACGCTTCCTGCAGGCGGGAAAAAATTCAGGATGTGCATGACTGTCCCCTCCACAACTCCACCAAAGGAGGCCTCTCGCGCATCATTGGTTTACGCAGAAAAAAAAAGGTCCGATACTTTTTGAACAGACCTTGTACATCTTGTGATCTTACTATCCATTCTTCTGTCGGGATCCATAACCTATAGCTGCCGCGACAGTATCCCACCATAACTGCACATTTTACTCTTGGATCTAGTTTGTTTTGCTTTGGTAGGAATGGGTATCATGCTCGACATCCAAATAGTTTCAGCCTGCTTATATAATTTGTCCATGCCAAAGAAGTGATGGTGTTTTCTTTCTCTGAAGAGCACTTGTTTATGATCTATTTAGTTTATAGGCTGAGCTCTTTAATGCTTCTCCCCATAATTCCTTTGGGATTCCTGAGTCAATGAGTTTTGTGCAGATCATATTTAATAAAGTCTTATTCATGCATTCAGCCTTTCTTCCCCTCTGTGGGCTGTAGCTCATCATTAATTGTAGATGGCATAATTGGCCCACATACATCTCTATGCACAAGGTCATCTATGGCAGTACAGCATCTTTCATTATGGTAGAAAGGAACTCAAAAAGCCTTTCCTTACATTGAGCACATTCTATTTGAAACTTTGAGTCCAAGCTGTCGCAGCACATCTCCCTGTAAGTGACCAAGACATCGATGCCACAAATCGTTTTCAGTTGCAACATGGCACTTTTCTTTAATCCTATTTTCCACTTCAAAAGTATAGATCCCATTTACTCTGTTATATTCAAACACAAAATTATTTCCACAAATTGTTATATATTCTGTCTCCACCATGATCCAATGTCCTTTTGAGACTAACAGCAAGATGTGCTTAATATCAGGAACTAAGAGTGTCTCAATGGTTATCATGTGTCCCCTGACATGCCTGCAACTTACCACTTTTAGTTGCTTTTAAAACTTCACCATTAGCAATATAAATAGTCACTTCATGATCCAACTACAAAATATTATACATAAGGGATTCTAATTTCAGTTTTACAAAATGATTACTCGTTCCTGAATCTAGAACAAAGATAATACTGTTTGAATTGCTTTTCTGATTACAGATGTTTGCTGCATGTAATGAAATTTGCTTTTCTTTACCATAGGTTTGTTGACTGTCTTTATTACAACCATCTTGAGTTTTAAATCCTTTTCTTTGTCCTGACCTGGGCTGAGAGCATTTTGGGCATCGTTCCTGAAAATGCAATTTTCTTCCACATATGTAGCAACCTCTGTTATTTGCCTTGAAACTGACTTCATTGGTTTCCAGGTATAAGTTATTATTTTCTTCACAAGATTTTAATTTTATTTCTTCGTCTAGTAATCTTTCTTTGACAAAATCCATTTTGACTTTTGCCACTGTTTCCAAAACACTATATTTTGACAGTTTTTGTCTCAAATAGTCTGTTTTTTCCATTTTACTTTTATAATTACATGTGCAATGAACAACTATAAGAAATATAATGAAAAAATTGAAAAAAAAATGAAATGTTTAAGGAATTACTGATATGCAGAATTAGAAGGTAAGTGTCATGTGCTTGTTCAAAGATGAAAGTATACACTGGTGTGGGTTATCTATACAAAATTATGGCAATATACGGTGCTCTCTGCTTATAGTGAACTTAAATCATTAGTCCTAATTTGCGTACATTACAAATATGCACAAAATTTGTCTACAGTAAACCTAAAAACTGAAACTACAAGTTTTATTGCTGTGACTAAAATAACAGAATTGGAAGGGAAAATTTTAGGTTCCTACTTTCAATTATTAGCATTTTACTTTTACTAGCATTGTAATTTTAATGTTAATACAGCTTATGTTGATACTTATATCCTTGATACTAGTGTTAATGTAAGGGTTATTATGATGTGGAGGAGTGTGTCAGCAATCATAATACAGAAATGTTTCCAACACACTGGCTTTATTAAAAGATATATGATAGAGAATATTTCATTTGATGATGATGATGATGTGGCATATTAATGCTAATGACAATTTTGATTTGTTGACAATGAAGATTTTGTCAACATGGATGCTGAGCAGATGAAGTAATCATTGAGGCTGTGAAAGTGTGTGCTTTTACTGTTGTGACAATTTCTTCATTCTTGTTTACTTTTATCATCTGTGTCACCACAGATGTTAATGTAAACAAGAATGAAGAAATTGTTCTAACAGCAAAAGAGGCATTGGAAGGTGTTAGGACTGTCCTAAGGTTTTTAGAATCTGTGGATAATGTGGAATCAAGTATGGAAAAAAAACAAACTCTTAAAAAGGACATACACTATAAAAAAACATTCATTAAAAGAGTATGAAGTAAGCAACAGCAAATAAACTAATTCAATATTCAAAGAGGTACAGCACTGTAAACTTTTCTGTTTTTCACTGTTTATTTTATTTTTCATTTACTGTATGTACTATTCTTTCAAATAAAGCACATACAATGTGTGATGTTTACATATTGTGTTTTATTTTATCTGTCACTCTTCAGGTTAAAAATATATATATATTTCTGTTTAGTGAATGAAATAGTTTGGTCCCTAGAAGTTCACTATAATCCTATATAAAGTACTCTCTGGTTAAAGTTGTTATACTCTTGTGTAAGATTCTAATAATTATTAAGATGCAATTACATATTGCTGTTTATCTCAGAAAAAGTTTATATCAGTTTTTTTATGTTGAACAATTGTTTAAGTTAAGCCTATTTTATATCATATGATTTTGTATAATTTTATTATTTGGTTCATGTAAGAAAAATTATATAAGTCAATATTTAATGTTATTGAACTTTTAAAATTTTATAATAATAATAATAATAATGCTTAACAATTCATTAAAGTTTTAATACAAAAATAAATTGGTGAAAGTAAAAACTTACCAAGCTGTACAAAACTAATTCCATCCTAAAAATAAATGAAATAATTTAGATTATAAATTTTCACTTGACTTAATAACATTTAATAATAAACTGAAGAATATATCATTATCCACATCTTAAAGTGACATATACATTTAGTTAAAGTATGAAATAATGTTAGCAGTACAGAATGTAGAGAAGAATTAACATGTTTAAACAAAAAATATAAAATTTACAAATATATAAATAAAATGGCTTATTAATTTTTTAAACATTTAAACAAATTCTATAAATTTTAATATGCTTTTTAAATTCTAAAAGTTGTTATATTTTACTTTATGTTCTACTTTAAATTATGACAACAATGGAATAAAGGATTAAAACTATTTTTCACAACACACAACATTTCCAACACCCAGTCTACTTCTAACAGAGGACAACAACGCATCACAGGCTCCAGGTGCACCATAGTTCAGTTCAATCAACATTTGAACTCCTTATACAAAGATATTGCAGACCAGAGTGGTACAGAAATTGCATACAGGAGATCCAGTACAATATACAGGCTGCTATGCAACACAAAAGATAAAATGAATCAAAACAGAGTCCCAGGAGTGTACTCTATTCCTCTTAGGAATGATAGATTCCAAAGGAACTTATTATATATTGGCTCAACCACACATTCAATATGTAAAAGGGTACGTGAACATCAATACAACTTGCGAACAACAGGCATACCATTGCCCTGTCCACGTACTCCACAGACCCAGAAGTACATGTGGACCTCCAGAACACCAAATTAATTAGGCAAGCCTTTCAAACAGACCATATCCATAGCCTGGAGGCTTGGGAAATTTATAAAGTCAAGTTTCATTGTTCTAATGTTCCAATTTTTGGAAGTCAGTTTTGTTAAACACCTGAGGCAGGTCTTGAAGGCTAAAAACGTTCAAAATTACATTAAAGTTCAATTCCTGATTAAAAAGGTTTTATGTGTGATAGTTTATTTACCATGTAGCATTAATTATTTTAATATTAATGTAAGGTTTTGTAAAAACTCCTTTTTGTATTTTTAAACTAGCTACTAAGTTAGCTGTGTTCTTTTCATTGTAATGTTCTTGAAGATAAGTAGTAAGTATTGTTTGCTTGAAAGCAATATGAACACAATTATTAATTATTAAAACACTAGAGAAGTAAATATAATTTAATTTTGCATATGGAGATGTAGATATGTTTCTACACAGTTCCTCTTATGTTTTTAAAATCAATAAATAATTGTTTAATGTATTAATTTATAAGTTGTTTTCTCCTTTCCGTAACTGCACTAGTATTAACAACAAACATGTAACCATTAACTATGCCATAAATATTTACTAATCAAATGTTTTTGGTCTTCTTCATACTTTCTTCAGGAGGTCAATGAAGAAGACTGAAAACATTTGATTAATGTTATGTATTGTTGTTTGTAAGATTGGCAACACTAGTGCCTCAGGGTAGGGGAATATAAAAAATGGCTAACAAAGGAACCCTGGTCCTTTGTTCTGGTCAGCGTCTTACGTAAAGAAGTGCAATAAAGACAATTTTAAAGAGTTGTGAACTTGTCTTTTTCATAGAAGCTAAGGCATAATAATTAATAAATATTTACTGCATAGTTAATGGTTACATGTATGTAGTTTATAAGCTATAAATAAATTAATAAGTTTTACTATTGGTTTATTTAAATACAGTAAATTTCATTTGCTATGTCAAAAATTATCAACTGTTAAATTACAATATTATTTTTTGATAATTATTTTAATATATTCCATAAAGTAGTTTATATAAAATTCTTACATTTCCTAGATATCCATTGAGAGGTGGACCTGGAGGTCCTGGCACTCCTCTTTCACCTTTTTCTCCTTTAATACCAAGACCTGGAATTCCTTTATCTCCAGGTCTTCCAGGAACACCCGGTCGGCCCTAATTAAAAACATCTTAAAGTTAAAAATGTAATATTTCCATGGAAATTTCTTAAAACAATACATTATACTGAATTCAAATTAAAGAAATTTATATATTTAACATTTTAAATATTAACAATTTTCAACATATGACTTATAATTTATTTATAAAAAGAAAACTACATAAAAAATAATTAATGCTATTTTGGAAATAAAGAAATGTGAATTCATAAATCCAGCTTTTTTCATTATACTAAAATAAATTGCCCTTCAAAAAAAAAAAAAAAAAAAGATTTATTCCAGTAAGCTGATGTAGAATGATGATCCAAATAGACAATGTAATACATAAGAAGAAACAATGGAAGATACAAAAGACTATCTGTTGTGAATATAAATTCTTCATCTTTCAGTTGACGTAAGAGTAATTTGAGTATCTTTGTAGCAGTCTTTTAAAACTGAAAACTAAGAAATAGAATACTTCTAGCTAGGAAGTCTTCTATGACTTCCTAGCTAGAAGTATTCTATTTCTTAGTTTTCAGTTTCTGAGTCATTGCTATATTGTCTGTCCAGTCAATGTAACTTCTGATTCTTTGAGCCCTACAGATTTAATGTCTTGAGCTGAACTATTGAAACATCCTCTTGATTCCTTCTGATTAGTGAGACATGATTATGTAGCTTGCTTGCCTTGGGTGATTTTGTTAAGGAAGTGATTCCATTACATTGTTATTGTTATTATATAGATAGTGGCCAGCAGGCCAAATGCATCTTGACCTAGAAGGTGCATTGTGCACCCCACAAAAGTTTACTTTTGTGGGGTGTCAAATCTCTTTGAAAAAGACAGTAGACCTCCGAAATAAAACTGATGGATGTCATCAGGAGTAAAAAAACCCATATGAACAAGTCTATCTAAGTAAAGATCTGCACATTCAGAAATGAGATGCAGAAGAGTCTCCTCAGAAGATCTTCAAAAGCAGCAAAAAGCTGTGGAGCAAAGTTTCAGTTGGTACAGATGTTTACAAAAATGGACAAAACCAGTCACAATACCAACCAAAACTGAACATGATTCCTGTCAAAAAACATGAAATCTTTAGTTTGTCCAGAGAGCATGTTAGGCAGAAACTCCTATTAAAGTTACAACATGCTTTCAATAAACTTAAGGCCATGATACACTAGGCGATTTTTGTAGGAGACAGAAAAACCTGTTTCTTGAGCAATGAGTCCTGTTAAAAAAATTTCCAAACCAATAGGATCTATTGGTCCAGTAGACCCTATTGATCCAATAGGCTCTATTCAATCAATATTTTAAGTTATTGAAATATTTATTTACATGAAATATTTTGTACATATTCAGTTTTTAGATCAACATATTCTCTTTTCTTTGCATTTTATCACATTTTAGTCAAAACTATAGAGCATTCTCACTAATCCAAGTACTGCTTAGTTTGAATCAATCTTTTATATTCCAATCAGAAACAAAGATAAATCATACATTATGTTTTTAAAATATGATGAATGATGAATTTATAAAATTTTCTATATGTACTACACATTTTAACATAAATGTATGGACCAAATACAGTATAAAATTTTTTAATGTATAATATATACAGTGGTACCTTGACTTATGAGTGTCCCAACTTACAAGTTTTTTGAGATACAAGCTGTCTCTCAGCTGATTTTTGCTTTGAGTTCTGAGCTAAAATTCAGGTTATGAGCCAGTTTCAGATATCCCACCACTAGTTGGCGCAGCAAACCACAGATTAAGAAAAAGATGGAAAACTGCCATAATTTCATCATTTTTGTTACTCTTTCAATGTCTGACAGGCTTATAGAAAAACACATGACCAAGTGATGTAGGCATTAGTTCACTTCCATGTTGTGTGCAGCACCACAGTCTCTCATTTCTCAAATTTTCCATCTTTTCTTTCTTTATTTATGCAGTGAATACCACAACATCCACAAAACCAGTTTATTGCAGTACATTCTATTGTGATTTTATACAATATTTGTTATTTATAAGTACAGGTAACCCCCGTATAACACGGCACTTCTATAGCATGGATTCACTCTAACATGGTTTGAGAATTGGTACCATCCCCCGTATAACACAGTACTTTTATAGCACGGATTCACTCTGACACGGTTCNACAAGCATTAAAATGGTAAATTTGACAGGTAATTGTTATCACTAACTAGATACACAACATTTTAAAAAAAGTTTTGTTTTTAAAACGTTACATTTACAAAATCAGAAATTATTAAATTACATAAAAGATTATTAATTAAAGTACATACAACATATATACACGATTTATTTGTCATTCTGTTTTCATTCATCTACAAAATCAGCCATTTTCTTCGTTGGAAGCACGAGCAGTGGAAGTGACAAACAAATTGGCTTGGTAGCTGCTTCCTGCACGTGCATGTAGAAGCATCATCTGGTGGTCGCTACACGCTAAATGCGGTTAGTCTGGACGCACATTTGCTTGAACCAGTTTGTCTGCTCTGCTTAGAAGCGCATTCACGCTCGCAGTCGCTGGATGCTGCCACGCAGGACGTAGCCTTAAAAATATAAGAGAAACCATATGGATTTATACTAAAACATAAGGTTGTAAGATCACTTAGATTTTTGTAGATTTCTGATGGTTTGTATACTATGAAAATTATATCTTTGAGTTAGAATGTGTTAAATTTTGACTAGCCAGTTATCTTTTAATACTAAAGTCACTTCACTAATGTAATGCAAGTATGCTTTTCTGTAATATACAAATTTAAAAATACATGATTATAAGTGGCCATAGAAGACATAATTGTCTATATTAGAATGTTACAACAATATTAAATGTGTATGTTGTACTGTACATATCTGTTTGTTTTGTTGACTGGACATGTTATAAAGACTTTAGTTTGGAATATTAATCCAAAATTTTGCAGGGGGAGGGAAATAATATTAAATTACCATGTTTTCTTCTTGTACATATAATATATATATATATATATATATATATACAGTGGTATTTTGACTTAAGAGTTTAAATCATTTCGTGATGGAACTCATAACTCAAATTACTCTTATGTCAAACCAATTTTTCCCATTGAAATGAAGTGAAGTGCCATTAATCTGTTCTGGACCCCCAAAACACTGCAAGTTTTTTGTTACATGTTTTTAAATAAGAAAAATGTACAGGTAACCCCCATATAACACGGTAGTTACGTTCCAAAAAATTGCTGTGTTATGCGAATCCGTGTTATACGAAACAAAGAACTAATAGGAAAAGGAGGGTTAGGTTCCAAAAATTAAAAAACATGCTAGTATATTTTCATAATTAAGATAAATATCTTCATTAAAATTTTTTTAAGTGATATATATTAATATAAATTAAACAATGTTTTCTTCGTCATCACTAAAAACACTATTAATTAAGCAAGAGCATTTTCTTTTTGGCAAGTTATCCTTATCTTCTGAGCATTTTTCTGCAGTATCTTCAGATCCATGATATATATATATAGATATATATATATATCTGTAGTTTTTCTCTTTTTTTCAGATTGGTGAAATTAATTTATATATTAGAAATTAATTCCATTTATCTGAACAATAACATAAAATAATTAATTCAGATTAGCAAGAGTACTGTGATTGGTCATCCAAAAGTTTAAATATATTTTTCTCAAAACATTAAATATGCAGATGTGTTTCATTACATGAAAGATTAATAGCACCCAATTATGATGGTACTGTACATACAAATGGCAATATAAAAAATTTTCATTTCATAATTTTCTTACACCTTAATTAAAATTATACCTGAGTTACACTAATTTTCTGATCTCAGGAATTTTTAAAAAATTTTCTAAAACTAAACTCTGAATCATGAAACTTTTTTGTTAATTTAATCTATTTTAAAGATGGTTTTTCATGTTGATTATAATTTTCTTTTGAAAACATGTTACATAATTGAGGAAACAATTATAATTTTATCTTACCATATATAGATTAATTTCACATTAAAAATTTACTTTTATTTTGCCAATCTGTGAATATTTTAATTGTTATAGTTATCCCAATAAAAATTAGTTGTGAAGTTTCATTGACCAATAGCATATATACCAGAAAATTATTTTATTGGTGTCTATTGGTTTTAATAATTTATTTCCCTAGAATACTAATAGAAAATTCTAGTGGTTTTAAATATTGCTCTAGAATACCAATAGAAATGCTTATGGTTTCTATTTTTTTATAACAGGGAGAGCAGTTGTTGGGGAATCAAATCACTAACTTTTGGGAGACAAAAAGCCTCCTGTCACTCACTGTAACCAATGGGCACACTTAGATTTATCAAGCGAGTATTGTTCTTGTTAACAATACAGAAATAAAAATGGAGGATAGTTGCTCATCGACAGTTGATAGGACAGGACATTTAATTTCATTAATTCAATCGTAAGAATCAATTTACGTTATAAGCACACTAGTAAAGAATATCACAACAAGGTACTTAAAGATACATAATTTTGTGCTGTTAGCAAAAATTTATGGTTATTAGGTAGAAATGATCCTACAACTCCAACTTGTGTGTCTGAACGGCAACAGATTTATGTTGCACTCAGAGACATATCTCCGGTGTAAAAAACTGCCTAGTGTGTCACGGCCTTTAGGGTGACATTTTTTTACACATATACATTAGAAAAAATGCAATTATGAACTTAATTTTATAAGCTGTTCACAGGTCAAATTGATTAACTGTCTTAGTTATACAAAAAAATGTAAAAATAGTATATCCTTGGAATAATAGTTTTTATCTAACATCATATAAAATAATAATAATGCCTATAATGACATTCTAGAATGTTTTTTTGAAAAAGATTGTATATTATTTTATCAATTTCTCCACTTTTTGTTTGGTGGAGTTAATCAATTTGGCAAATGAATGGCCCATATATACTTAAGGAAAAAATATATAATATTAAAAGATGCTTCTACAGTCATCTAAATACTGAAATCATTTAAAAAATAAAAAATATTTACAAGACAATCCAATATATGCTAAACTAATTAGATTAATTAAATCAAAAATATAATTTTACAGATGATGATAAAAATCATAAAAACTGAATTAAGTAAAAATAATTGTTCAAACTGGAACTTTTTCAAATTGAAGTTAAAGTTTTGATTAAAGATATTCTAAGTTTTTTAATTTAAAATTTTTACATTAATGACAAAATAAAATTTAAAATATAATACATTGCATTTAAAATTATATTTAAGATTACAGTATAAATTAATTACTGTACATTTTGTTGATTTTAAAAAATTAGCTTTGAAATATAAAATAATACCTGATACAAAGTCTCTCCTGACTGAAGCATAAAATAGAAAATAATTAATTAACATTCTAATTGTAGATGAATTTTCTCATTTTAAAATAATATACATCTCAAAACTATCTTTAAGTTGGAAAAGTGTTGTCGTTATATGAAGTTATTTACAATCCTTTGCATATACTGGATATATATATATATATACACCAAAATTGTATGCATTTATTTATTTTGTATTTATCTTTTTACTTCACATAAGTGACTGAATTTTGTATTTAGTAAAAGTACTTTATTGATTGTAAAAACTATTCAAAAAATAGCTATTATTTGGAAAATTAAATTATTTCTGTATCAATTTAATTATTTAATATAATTTAAATAATAATTTTAACATATCTTTAAAAATTTTTTTAAATAATGCTTTTATTGGTCATGTTTTTCAAAATTGGCAGTGGTTCACTACATTTACACAATACACATCACGGTTAAATTTTACATTTAGTTATATTTACTGGGTTTTGGGGTGGGAATGATGTTGGGGATGGGTTCACTCCTCTGAAAACATCAATGGATTAAGGTATGTCCTCAAAGTTTCAACTTTCTATCTTAATTAGAAGTGGATGAAATTTGATTTTCAAGATTTGAGGACATGATACAAAGCAAGTTAAGTAACAGAAAAGGATTCCTAACAATAAATAACACAGATTCTCAAACTTTCAATTTCTATTTTGATGTATACTTACAGGAAATCCTGGAAAACCAATTTCGCCTATCGGTCCTACTGGACCGGGTGGGCCTGGAAGTCCGGGAGGTCCAGGATAACCTCTTTTCCCTCTTCTTCCACGATCTCCTTTTTCTCCTTTGACATCCTAAAAGTAATCAGAAATCAATTGTCTAAATTATTTGATAATTTTGTTCACATTGTTACAAATTGTTTTTAACAGCAGGTATTGGGTATTGAAAAGAAAAAAATATAAAAGCTGTCAAAAATTATTTGTTCAGTAAAAATTGCTGGTTATTAAAGGTTATCATTGGCATTTAATTTGAGGTAATTTTTATATTGTTTTGAATTATTTTATTCACATTATTATTATGATAAAATGAATTAAATTTATATAATTTGAATTTACACTTATTGATGCTGAAGCTATTCCTGGTGGACCAACTTCTCCTTTAGGACCTTGAGGACCTTGTGGACCAGTTTTTCCATCTTTACCTTTATCACCTTTGCTGCCCTGAAAAACAGTGATTTATTTCTGATTTATTACAAGTTATCAAATGTTACTAATAATTTTCATTAATTAATTAAGTATAAAAACAAGTGTTTGGATCTTATTCATTTATGATTAATTAGTCTAAATAAAGAAAATTTGTTGTATTTTAAGACTATAGGAGTTTAGTGCTTATAATTAAATACAATTAAGATACTTCATTTACATTACAGTAATGACAAAAACTAATGATTATAATGATTAAAAAATATACACAATAAGATTATTAAATAAATAATTAATTTCATTGTAGCTAATAAATTATTATATTAATTTAATTTAATACCATTCCATTAGACAGAAATATAGACACAGAAAAATCTTTTTGCATATAAACAATTTAAAACATCCCTAGAAAAATACATCTATTATTTTTATAATTATTTTTGTAAATAAACTGACTCTAAGAATTCTTGATTTTAAAAGTACATACATATTTAAGAGTACCATATTAAGTGCAAAAGTAGAAAAGATGGAAAAATCATCATCATGACTCTGAAAATACAGAATTTTCCTAATTAATCATGATCACTCTTGTATTTATATTCAATTTGATATTCACATTCTGTATTCAAAGAGAATATCAATTACAGAAGTAGATCCAATCATCATATACAGTATAACTAAATCACATTTAGCTATACATATATAACTGATGATATGTATATATTTTTCTTATAGGAGATGATATTTTGGATAGAGTCCATATTCAGGTATGGCTTACTCTTGAAAAATATCTTTAATTGGGGTTAATTGGCATATTTGAAATATGTATAAAAAAATTACCATGATTTTTAAAATTTCACACATATACATATATAAAATAAAATTTAATCAATAAAGAGTTTTCAGTAACAAAATTACTTTGAAAAAAACAAGATGAAGGAATTATCTGTAAAAATTTTAATTGCATAATTGAGCTGAGCAAGTGAAGCTCATTTCTTTATGCTCAAACATCATTGGATTATGTAAACTCCTCTGGAACTGCTTAACTGATCTTGACCAAACTAGGTATGTACATTCAGTCCAGGTTGGCAAATGTTGTAAGCTACTCTTATTCCAAATTCTGATCAGATTGTGTCCTTGAAGAATAATTTGGGAAAACTCAGCCATAGATTTAAGAAGGGATTTTGGATATTTGCAAAGCATTGAAGAATTGAATTGCTGTGTACTGCAAATTTTACATACACAGCAATTCAATTCTGTTTACAACTATAAACAAACATATTGTGGGGTTTCCTTAGGAAAAGGATTTCACGCAATATTTTTGTTTAACAATAAGGATATTTATTTCATCAGTCTTCCAATATACATATACAATTGACTACAAAGAAATTTGTGCATTCTGTACACTTGAAATTTGCATATATCGGCAGATTCCATTCAGTAGCTCACCCATACCAAGAATAAGAATAATTGTCTGGGCAAAACCCAGGCTACTGAGGTATCATTTTCACTTGTTTATTCACATTTCTAAAATAATTCTCATAGTAGATTTTGATGATTTTGGTGTCAAAATGCTCAGTATAATGTTGTCCTTGGCATAAAATACTTTTTGGAAAATATAATCCACTCTGAGAAAAGATATATTAAAAAAAATGAAAGTGTTGCCTTTCTCCACTTTGACACTTAATAACAAAAAAGCATTTTGACATTTTTGGGTGCTGATTTTGGAATTTAAAGGCACACAGTTGCTTCATATTTTCCAGAGTTTTGTGAATTTCAGTTGAACTACAGAAAAGTTATACGAGTTCTAAGAAAAAAGGAATGTCCCTCATTCCCACTAGATGATGCCACGTTACCTAGCTCTAATAACGAGAAACTTCTGGAACAATGCAGACTTTGTCATTTTTTTTCAAGATGTGGACTTTTTGATTCCATTTTTGTACTAAAATATAGTCAATTTTGTTTAATTGGGGCAGCTGCTTTTTTGGCCAAATCTCAAAGAACAGAAACCAAACTAATAAATTAATACATAATTAAAATGCCTAATTGGGCCAGTAGCAGAAAAGGAATTTAGCAATTTTTGATATATTTTAGGGATCTTCTGAAAATATGTCAACTCTACATATACTAATTCAGTGATCTCCAAACTTTTTTTGATCATGTACCCCTAAAACAAAAATAATTATAAGTTGTACCCCTTATAATATAATATATTTGATTTTATTTTATTCTTCTTTTATTTCTTTTTACTTTAATTTAATTTCTTTATTACACTTTGCTTTTTTATCTATGCCTTTCATGAAATTTTTTGTTTTATTAACAATAAATCATTTATAATCTTTCATTTGTGACATATTACTGCTGAAAGTGCTTACCCAGGCTACATCGATAAACATTGTCTCGAGTTTTGCGATGTCACATATCTAGTAAAAATGAGAATCAGTTCTTTTTATACTTTTTGTGTTGCCTACCTTGATGCTTCCTCAATGGTGGTGTCACCTGCCACCACATCATCATCCATTTTTGCACAATATTTCTTGAGTTTTAAACAATTTAACATGACAATTAAGTTTAAACTCCAGCTTAACAGTATGTTCATCTGTACGTTCATTAACATCACTGGCTGGTAACACTAATTAAGTTCAAAAGATATATATGAACTGAATTAAGTCATTCTGAAGCAAAGTTGAAAGAAATGAAGTTTCATAGTCAGCCACTAGATTAGATATCATTGCTTCTATTTTAAAACATACTAAATAAACTCCAGATTTAATCTCACTCATCTCAATTTTCAGGCATTGAAAATAACAAATACAATTTTAGTATACTCTATTATTAAAATATAAGTTGTGTAAAAACTATTAAATAAACATACTTTTTCTCCTTTTGAACCTGGAATACCTGGAATACCTGGTTCACCAATTTCACCAATATCTCCTTTATCTCCCTAAATAAACAAATAAAAGTTATTATTAATATTAATCTGCCTTCTTCAAAATTCAATAAATATTAATATAAAATATTTTTGTTTTCCATATCACAACTTTAATCATTGAAGTATATCATTGATAAATTAGAATTAATAAATTCAAAAGAATTATTTTAAACATCATTTATCATAAATAAGCACAAGCAGTCCATGACTTCCAAATGTAATTAGTCCTAAAAATGTGCATGAAAGTCAAACAACAGAATTGCATAAAATGCATTAATAAATAAACCATAAATAAAAAAATTCTGTAAAATATAAATGATCTATATTTATATTATTCTGTAGTAACAGATAATTTTATGATATAAACAAAATCCAATTACAAGCATTTAAATAGAAAAATTTAACTTTTATGTACTGTACTTTACAAAATAAAATTTATTTAAAATATTACATTAAAAGAATTTCTAACCTTAGGACCTGGAATTCTTTGAATTCCAATACCACTTCCATATTCCAAATCAGGTAAAGATCCATCCATTTTATCATTGTTAATTATTTCATTTATCCCAGGTAGACCTGGAGCACCAGGTGGGCCGGGAGGGCCAGGAGGTCCAGGTGGACCCGGAGTTCCTAGTCCAGGTAATGCAGAGTCTCCCTATATATAAAAATTAACAATTTAGAAATTGATTACATAAAATAAAAATTATTGATATACATTTATTTGTTGACAAACTGTAATATTTTTATAGACTCTTTTACTTCACATTTAGAAACAATTATCAAAATTTATAGAATTTTAAGAAACTTCAGGGAATATTTATAAAAATGTTATAAATTGTTTTAAAAACTATCTTAAGTTTAGAAAATATATTGTTCTATTTTACTAACTTCATTCATAGTTTCTTTCTTAATGTTTACTTCATATCCTGATTCTATTTATTATTTGATCGCACAGTCAAATGCATAAATCAATGGTTTTTATTACTACATTTCTTTAAAATTTTATAATAAATTAATCAAAATGAAACTTTCACTTCTAAAAATGAAGCATATGCCATTTTGAAAATTTAAAACTAATAAATGTTTTTAATTCTTAACTTTCAGATTTCTATAAATTTTTTAGAAATGTCTTCATGACATTTTAGTAAAGTTCAAAAATTTACAAAATATAAATATGAAGTGTTTTTTTAATGTAAATACATATGTTTATAGCTATTTTGTACTTCATAATTTTTTTAGTTTCTATCAGAATTGCATCAGTTTTACTTATTCCATATTCATTATATTTAATGCCCTTTTGGACTGTATCTACTCAGTTTTCATAACAGATAAAATAAATGCATAAGTAATTTTATAATTAGATTTACCTTTTCACCTTTATCTCCTCTACTTCCTTTCACTCCATTAAAGCCATCTAATCCTCTTTCTCCTGGTTTGCCAATAGGTCCTTCAGGTCCAGTCTCTCCCTAGATTACAAATAATAATGTTTACATCACAAACAGTCGTCAAATCTAAGTTCTACATTTAATAAAAGTGAAAAATTTTTTCTTTATAACACTCAAAGAAACTCGTATTTTCAGTAACTTTAATGTAATTTAATTTATGAGAAACAGTTTTAAAATTATTGAAAAATATCAATTTCTTTGGAGAAGGTATAAATACCTCTATATATATTGAACAACTCCTAAGCTAAGAACAGTAATGTAAATTTGACTCATAGTTGGAAAACAGAAACCTCTGACTCGAGGAGTTTCATAAAACTTCAGAAAGTTCAAACTTCTACTATTTCATGTTCTCTTTTAACTAGGCTTGGGCATGGTAATTACAATAAGAGAAAGTCACAATCTAGTCTTATAGAAAAGATGCTTAGTTAGTTGACATGTCATAAATTGTAATGAATATAAAATTATTATCTACAGTAGCTGCCATTCAAGCAAGCCAGAAGAGGAAAAAAAGCAACTGTGAGCTTGCTGACTATAGGGGGGAGGAGATCTTTAGTCCCATGTCAGGGTGGATAAGGGTGCTGTTTGTATGTGGGTAGTGGAGACACTGGTACAAAGCACCTTTACAAAAACCCATTTATTAGTAGCAAATCATTGGCTTACATAAATTTTAGCAACAAATCCCTTCCGTGTATGGCAATTGTAGGCTAGAGAGTTCATCCTAGAAGATGTAGATAATCTGTTTTGTAATGGAGTTCTGACAACAACCCTGGGGCAGTGGCAAGATGTTCAGCAAGTTACAGGTTCAAATAATTAGCACAGTCACCAAAAAACTCTCTCCTGACCTTGAGATCCAGGGTTTTTATAGGATTTCTCCCCAGATCTCCTCCTCTGATTGGTTCTGACTTTTTCTCCTTGTTTCCCGATTGGTCTCTTCTCCTGTTTTCCAGGTGGAAATAAGATTGGTTTGGGTCCTGGGAAAAAGTCTATCTGAGATGATCTACCTGGTACCATGTGTCAACTCTGACTGAGAGATGTTGATAGAACTAAGAAACCTGAACTTGTGCTTTAGCCTGTTGTTTTCCTTTCTCTTGACACTTTAGAATAGGAGTGTCCAACTTTTTTGTTTCTATGGGCCACATTGGAAGAAGTAATAGAGTTTTGGGCCACAAAAATATTATATATACTTGTGGCCCAATCCTTAAATATACAAGTAAATTTAAGAATTAATATGTCTAGATTATAGTAATAAGTATTAAAACTTTATCACAAATAAGGATATTTAAAAAAATTACTTCTACAGACACTTTCAATTTTTACTTAGAAATAGATAAATTCATTTATTATAAAGGAGACAAACAAAACTTTATTTGAAAAACATAAATATTTGTTTTATTTGGGTCTCTAATTAATAAAAGATGACAAAACATCATTTTAAAGTGCATTTTTATTCAACTAATATATTTATAAATAATATGTAGCCCAAAAAATAGTCAATGCGCCAAATGATATTTTTATGCAAAACTAAAAAGGGTAGCCAAATCTTGCAACATTGGAAGGAATACTAAATAAAGCTGGAGTTGGGACTCAAAGGATTATAGACCCAAATAAGTTGAAACTGGTTACTTTGTACTTGAATATTTGTAGTCTTGAGAAAGAAGTAGAAAGACAAATTTTTATGAAATGGATACATAAATCATAAATTTAACCTAAGAAATCATGTGAAATTAGAACTTTTGCCAATTTTGATTATGAAAATCCAGATGAACAAATCTATAAATAAAAAAAACTGTTTAAAATACAATTTTATCTAACAATTGTTGATACAGTCTTAAATTCCGTTCAGGAAAGATTTGAAAATCTAAATCAGTGCAATAATATATTTAAATTTCTTTGTGAATTTGGAAAAATGACTGAAGACAAAATTAAAAAATGTTTCGATTTAGTTGTTTCCCTTCAAATTAACAAAGGAAGCACAAGAATTAAGGATGTTGATGGTCTTGAGCTCTTCAATGAGCTGATAACATGTAGAAATTTGAAAAGTGGAGTTGCAGATGCATTAAAAATTTGACATATATTGCAAAAAATAACTCGATGTCATCATTTCCTAATCTGTTTATAGCTTTGAGAATTTTTCTGACATTGCCAGTTAGTGTAGCATTGGGTGAAAGGAGTTTTTTGAAACTCAAACTTATATTTAAGAACATCAATGACTAAAGAAAGGTTTAATGATATAGGACTGTTAGCCATAGAAAAAAAATTGTGTGACAGTTTAGAATTATCACATGTTATTGATAAATTGGCAAATAAGAAAGCAAGAAGAGTGCAGTTCTAACTTTTTGGATAGACTGTATTTTGTTACTTCTGTTTTATATCTTGTACATGTTTTATTTCAATAAAATTAAAATATTTTTATGGATTTTTTAAACTCCTGTCAACCATACAGAACTATCATAAAAACATACTAGTAAACTACTATTGGTTGGATTAAGTTATAAATCTACTAACGATTCACATAATGGGACTGGAGGTGGGGCGGCCAAATATCTCTAATATACAGGTGGCTAACAGCCCAGAACCGGCCTGAACAGGATTCAACTTATTCAGTACCAGCAGATCATGTCCAACAACATCACAATGATGCTATATAGTTCAACCCCCAGTATATCTGAAGGATTTTCATACATAAGGGAAAGGATTGTACTGTGAGGTGCTTTGCGACTATATATTTTTGTGTTTCGTTTTTTCCCTTGACCCCTTCATTTTTGTTCATGATACCATCTTTTTCCAGTTCACATTATGTTGGCAGCCAGATCAGACAGAGGAGGTCACATGGGGAGGATATCCGCTTGGCACAATATAAAAAGTCGTGATCCGCATGTTGTAGGAACTTTTTTTTCCTCTTGCTTTGTTCTGGCTACTTGTGAATGATACAAGATCGAGGCGGTGAGCGTGAGAGGACCAAGGATCAGAGAAAAGGCCGATGAGACAGCAATCCATTTCCATCCAACCCAGGATACTTTAACATCAAGATAGAGCATACTCAAGGAAAAGAAGATCGGTGGGAGATTCACTCAAATGTATTAGTTTCTTTTTCATTGTTTATATGCGGTAGAAAAAGTGTTGAGAGTAGGTTTATTTTTTATACTGTGTTAAGTGCCTTTTGATTTTTGTCATATGCCATGAGCCCCCTGAAAGGAGAGGAGGAAAGGGGAATGTGAAAATGTGTGAAATATTATATTAGTTGTGCATTGGAAATTGTCAATCACGTGATAGTTCATGTTCTATGTATATATGGTCAACGAGAAAGGATTAAAAGCCCAGTATATTTGTCAAGCCAACTTGTCCATTTATTTTTGTCTAGTCCCACTGACCTCATTCTAAGGGGCATTCTACAAGTGCAACAACCCAAATTTCCTGACTGTTTATTGTAATAATTTTATTGCCCCCAGTGAGCACTGGTCATGACAGAACACATGTAGCAGTTAACCTTTTGTCTTGATTATTGTAAGTCTGTACTTTTCAACGTGCAGTAAAAGAGTTGACTCATTCCTGTGTGTGTATTTTCTCTACCCCAAACGCAACAAAATGCAAAAAATTTATCTGTGAAATACATTGTGTTCAGTTGTACACAGACTGTAAAAATTAGTTTTTAAAGTTTAACAAAAAGTGAAACAATATTTAAGTATTTTAATTAATTGGTTTGTTATATTTAATAATAAACGTATGAACAATTTTAATCCATAAAATATCTACAATGCCACATATTCCTTTTTCATTAAATTTTCCTGACTCCAATGCAAGCAGTTATGTTTCAAATAGTGCAAGCAATTAAAGGTTAAAGTAAACTTCTACAATTAACATTTATATAAGAAAATGTAGAAAATAATGATGATATGTATGATTTATTGCAATAAATTATACCTAATGTTTTCATTAATAATATTTTGAAGTAATTTTTATATATCATACCTTATCTCCTTTTTCACCCTTTGGTCCCATTTCACCTTTTTCACCAGGATAGCCTCTTTCTCCTGAAATTCCAGGTGGACCTGGGGGACCAACAACACCTGGACGTCCATTATAGGGACCAAAAGGACCATCACCTGATGACCCATATAATCCAGAAACAAATCCTCCATCCATCTAGAATGAGTTAATCATAATATTAATAAAGTTTATTTCTTAAAATAATATTTATAAATTGCATTCATAGACATTTTTCTTCCTTCTAAAGAAAATGAATGAAAGTAATTAATCCTACCTGAAATAATTTATATAACACATTGTAATAATTTTCTGGAATACCAAAATACATTGGAAATTCTAGATTACAGTAGATCAAGATATTCCATATTTATAATTGAAATCATATAGTACAAATCAAAGTTTGAATCATATAACTAAAGATACATCTAAATTCTGAATTAATTATTTTCAGGCTAAATAATGACAAATGTTTTAAATTAATTAATTAAGTCCAACACTAACTATCTTTAAACAAATTTGGTGATGGTGCACTTAAGATAAATCTAAACATCACATTAATTACTGGTGCATTATCAACAATTAATGCAATGTTTAGGTTTGTCTTTGGTTATACATGAATTCTTGTATCAAGTTGTAATTCTCTCATGTATAAATGGAAATTATTGTGTTATCTATAATGTTAATTAATACCCATTTAAATAAAAACTGAATAACTGGATAATGTAGAATTTTCTATATTATAAAATGAAAGGTTAATGAATAATGATTCCACATACAATAAAAGCATCAGTAATTTACAATGTTACAGTTTATTTTTACAACACAATAGTTTTTAATGAATTAATGCCATACTGTAAATTTTTTAGTGTAATTCTTATATTTAAAGATATACAAAATCCTATATTCCTAAACTTTTATTAAACTAAATTTTGATAAAATAAGAACAGACTGTTTAGCAGAAATAATACAAAATTAAATAATTATTAAAGTTTCTTTTAAAAATAAAAAAAAACTTATAACATTTAAATCATATTCACATTTTAAAGAAATGTAGACAAATTAACAGTTCAGTCATTATTGCTGTCTTACCAAAAGCTCTCATATCAAAACAATCTTGTTCTATTTGACATTGTCAAACAATTTGCTAACAATATTAAGAAAGATAAAATTAAAATGAAAGCTACTTATATTTAGATTACTTATGTCCTTCTGAGAATTCTCTTTCTGATTTATTTTCTTCTTGGGTAAAGATGTCATTAAAACACATTTTTTTATTGACAAATAAAAAGAAGAAAAGAAATAAATACAAAGTGAGCCAAAAATATCAGGCACATTTTGTGCAGAAACTGGTTTTATGTTATCAGGGAAACAAAAGCAGTTTTCTTACCATGGAGAATTGGACAACTGTAGGTCATGCTTTTGCCACTGAACCATATTTTAAAGACAATGAATTTCTGATGCAAAACATTGCTTCATTGTCACTTCAATATTTAGAAGTAAATTACCAAAGGAAATTCAAACTTAGCACTTTACAAAAGAATTCCTAACCATTTGAAAAATTATTCATTTTATATAAAATAAAATTTCTTTCTTTAATTCCTAAAACATTGAAAACACTTTCAGTAAGTTTTGAAAAGTATCTTTAATTATCATAATGCCAATCAGACTTCTTATTTTCATCAATAAAATCATTAAAAAACTAAACTCCATTCAGCATATTTTTCCATGAAATCCTCTAATATTTCAGGATCAAGATTTATAGAGGAAATCTATTAGTTAAAACTGCTGACCCTCGAAATTGTACTTATGCCTTTCATGATATTTCTGAATCCACTATCATAAAATCATGCAATGATTTCATACTCACTCTTTGGCAACAAAGATGGAAAAATTCTTGCACTGGACATCTCACATTTGACTACCTTCCTGACATCTACAAGAGAAAGAAATATTTACATGTTTATCTAAACTTTTACTTTACTCTTCTGTTGACTGGTCATGACCATTTCAAGCAAAATTTGTGCTTGCACAGGTTTGGTCACATCTCTACCAATCTTTGTCTATATAGAACAGTGGCCATTTCATCTACAAATCTGTGCCTTCAGCAATATTTGCAAAAAGTTTATAAAAATTGACACACAATCAAGATCTTCACTGGCTATGCCCCAAAATAAACATCATAAAAATTCTATTACTTCATGATTTTATCCAGTCTATCAAATACCGAAATGCTTTTTTAAAAGTAAAGACAATTAATTATGATAAACTAATAATCTTGGTATAATGAACTATACCATTATTCAACGATACCATAGAAATATATTAATTGGATTATATTAAACTTACATATTCAGTGAGTCAAAGCATACACAAATGTTATCTATGAACAGTACAATAAAGAAAATCGGATGTTTACAATTATGAATGAATAAAATGAAAAATGTGAACGTCATTTTATTTCTCAATAAATATAAACAATGGAATTTTAATGATAAAAATTTTTCTAATTGTATAATTTTATAATGTAATTCAAGTAGAAAGATTTACATATAGTAACATTTAATAAAAACAGAAAACTTATCAATCGAAAGTTTTGGAATTTCAAGAACTGTGCACTTTTATTTTGTAAAGATTTTTCCTTCTTATAATATATTGGACAAAGTAATAAACTGTTTTATTATAACTAAAATTGCACTAAAAATCTAATAAAATTCTACAAAATAATCTATATGTTAATGTACTAAATTTATTAATTTATCTTTTGTTTGTTTGTTTATTAAAGTTATATTGACAATTCTAGTCAATATAATTATATTGGCTAGAATTGTCAATATAACTTTAATCATTTATTTTATTGAAAGAAACAATATTCTAATTAAAAGTTTAAAACAGATAGAAACTAATCTATTTCAATGAATAATATAGATTCATTATTAAATATATAAATTAAATACAGTATATACAAGGTAGAGTCGAAAATAAATGGGAGCTTCAATGTCAGTTGGTAATACTAACTACTTGATCATTCCATGTTTTACAAAGCTGTTTTTGAGTAGATTTACTGAGATATGAGAATACTACCCCAGTAAAAATAGTAGATCGAGTGAATGCTTCTGAAGTGTAAAAGATTGAAAATAAAAACAATGGATTAACATTAAATTTTACTGTAGGTTTGAGATATCTTGTAACAAAACTCTAAAATATTGAGTCTACAATGATGACACTATATTGAAGGTCAAGTATATGAGGCCCAAGCAATACTCAAGTTCACGTGTTAAAAATATCATAAAGGTGTCAAATCAAGGGATCAGGCTTTGATTCTAACACTCATAAAAATTGGAAGAAAAACGTAAATAAAATCGGCAAATAATAAAATTATTAATCAAGAGGAAAAAAAGTTTTTAAATAACCTTAAAAGGAGATGCAGTGCTGATATTATGTTTCAGACATAAGAATTTGAAACATTTAAATATGAGCAGGAGTTTCAAGGTGTGATTAATTTCCCTTCATCAGATTAAAACACAGTATCAAATTAAATCTGTGGTGGCCCGAAATGGTCTGTTATCTGCTTAGATACAGGAAACCGACCAATCAAAAGCTAGAGATCTGGGAAAGAGAATCTTTTAAAAACCTGGATCTCAAGGACAAAGGCAGACCCCTAGTGAAGTTAACTGTAGAGACTTCTTCTAGACTTCTCCCAGCCTCTGATCAACTATCCAGACTTTTCCTAGATAAACTATAGTCAACTGTCCAGACTTTTCCCTGCCTCTACAAGTGAATACCATCCTGTTTGAACTTTGGGCTATCACCTTTCGTCACAACCTCCCACACCATCAAGTATTGACTGACTACCCCAAGGACAACAACAGTCCAGAGCCATCAGAAGACAAGACACTCTAGATTGTAAGACTTAGTATAAATAAACGGGTTTGTTTGTCACTGTAGCTATTTGCCTTACTTTCCTTTATCCCACATACAATAAGTCCTGACATTTGGATATCACCAATTCGGCAACCTTCACAAGTATAACAATGGTACAAGAGAGTCAAAGAAAGTAAGGAAGATGTGGAAGATAACTCACATCCAGGCATATGCAGATCAGCTACAGTGTGTAATTCAGAAGTAATTGCTAAGATTCACGTGGGAATTAGATGACACTATTGGCATCATAGATGATCTCATCTATGATACTAATAGTGTCATCTAATTCACTTCTGTATACAGAGAAGACCTAATTTATTTGGCCTAAAATCTAGGTACTTTTAACTCATTCAGATCTATGGGCACTAAGAGAGCCTATTTTCCAAACCCATCATAGTGGATTCAGCCAAGTAGTGAAGGCATAGCCAAACATATCTAAGACAGCCTGCCCAAGAAAAATTCCTGGGGAATTGCTTCCTTGGATTTTATCCCAGGTTTTCCCAGAACAGTAGGCTAACATTTTAACTTCCCCAGCAATCCAGGTGTCTAATTTGGTTATTTCACTTGGGTCTATAAGTAAGATTCCCATGACAATCTTAATACATTGCATCAAACTTTCAATAGCCAACAACCTAGCGAAAACAGGATTTCTGTGCTCCTATTCCCATGATATAATGGATTTTTATATTATCATCTTTTTTGAGATTAAAGAAATGTCTGAAGATGTGTTATTTTTCATCACAAGAATTTTTGAGAGTGCTGTGCAATATCTAAAAACAGGTTTAGAATTACTACTGGTCATGGTAAGAATAGTGTCAGAAATGACAGAAAATGGTCATTAATTCAAAGGAAATGTATTGTAATTTATATCACACTTTTTCCCATTTATTTTTGGCAAATTTGATAGGAATAATATGATATATGTATGATTTATGACTAGCATATATATAAAGATCATCATACCAGTTCCTGCTTTATTAGTGCACAAAAATGCAAACAAGAAAACTTCAATGACTAACAAATTTTTTTGACCATATTAAATGATCATCATCAAGTTAACATATAACACAACTCATAAACCTCTGAGTGTCCAGGAACAAAAAATTTACAGGTTAATATATTCAAAAATACAATGTACAATTTTAAAACAGATGGAATACAATCTCATTGGCAGAGGTTGGCTATGACAAGGGTGACATAGCCATTCAGTAAAGGTTTTGAGATTGTGTTCCATCTGTTTTAAAATTTGTACATTCAATTTATATTATATTTTCAAGTATGTTATGATGATGGTGATTGAATATGGTTGAAAGCATTTATTAGTCATTAAAGTTTTCTTGTTTACTGAAATTTTTGGTTTTTTAGAAGTGTTTATTGTATAGTTTTAAACTTCTTTCTGAACTTCTGATGATGAACTAAGGAAATTTGAAAGTGTTAGGAATAAACTGTTTAAAATTGTTTTTTCATTTTCCAATGAAAGTAGGAAGTGGTGTAATTCTGATTTTTCAAGAATTAGAGGTTAATGTTGGCTATTATATGATAATATTAATATTGATATTAATATCCAATGGATCTCTGTAAAATTAGGATAATTACATTAATATTACATAATATTAGATTATTATATATTTTAGATTATATTAATATTAATACTGATATACAAGGGGGTGCGAAAGTAGATATATAGTTGAGAATCTGAGAAATACAAATGTTTGCTGTTCATTATTATTATTTTTATTATCTTTTATTAGTTCATATTCCTTATTTGTGATTTAATTTGTACATAAAAATAAATGTTTTTCTTCCTATTTTCTCCCTGTATGTTTTTTCTCCATAATAACAACTGTATACCTACTTTTGCACCCCCTGTATAACACTGAAAGCATAAAATAAAAAGATCATATAACTTTTTATTTTAAGCTTTCAATATTATATATTTGTAAAAATAAAAAATTTGAGAACAAATATATACATAATTTCCAAATTATCTTCTAGATTTTTTGATACATGAAGTGACAAAATTTATTCATTGAATATTGATATCATGTTTAGTTAATAGAAAATGATTAAATTATAAAATTATGGTTCAAAATGCTATTAAACCGATGTATAATAAGATGAATAAGCACAATTATTAACTACAAACATTACATAGGAGTAGAGTCTATTAAACAAAATATATAATTATTTATATTATTAAATGAAAAAGTAATTTTTAAAATTATAAAATTTTTAAAGTTACTTACATCAAAAATAGCACGATGTGTTGCGGGTGGACCTGGCGGTCCGGGAGGACCTACATATCCACGAGGTCCAGGTGGCCCAACAATACCAGGTGTCCCATCTTTCCCAGGTTCACCCTTAACTCCAGGAAGACCTTGCAACCCAGGTGGACCCTTAGTTATTTCATAATAATAAATACTATACTTAAATTCTATTAATAAAATATATTGGTTAATATTACATAAATTAGTTTATTTTATGTATTTATATTACACTGATTTAACCTAAATTATATCAATTTTGTGAAGATAAAGTTTATTTCTCTATAAAAACAATTAATTCAACATTAATATTTTTTATTCAAAAATTTTCTGTAAGATTGGAAAAGTGTAAAGTATTTATTAACAGATTTATAAATGACTTTTATTAATTGATCACACATTTAAATTTAAAAAGATATAAATTTAGCAGATTTTAAACACTACTTACTCTTTCTCCTTTCTCACCTGGTGGTCCTGCTTCATATATAACACCTGGTGGACTCTAATTTTAAAAAATTGTATCATTTAACAAACTTTCAATAATTTACAATATATTTTAATAAATAAAGAAATCTGGATAATTGAATTCTAATATTAATTTAATAAATTTCCAAATAAATGTTTTATTAGAGTACAGGGTACATTATGTAACAAAAATTACCTTTATTCCAATAAAATATTTATTTTTGATATATTAAGTAAACGAAATTTATAACGAAGTGAAATCAACATAGTAAAAATAATTAATAAAATGCATATTTTACATATTTTCTATTTTATTGGGGCTTTTTTACAATTTTAATAAAAATAATTAATACTTCAAATAATTTATATAACTTTGGTGTATCATTTATAAATAATTATTTTACTATCATTTTTAAATCCTGTAAAATCTCCATGTTTTAAACTGACTGGAAAAATGGAGTTTTTCCTTCAAATATTCAAATAATGCAATTAATTGAAATAGGATCTCTCATTAATATGTATAAAAAACTATTTCAATAACATATTTACAAAATTTTTAAATGGAATATTTACAAAATATTATATAACTTAGTTTACTTATGACCATATTTTTCATTATAATTAAAAATTATCTCATTAAAATATTATGCAATGACTTAAATAAAGTACTTGACTTTTGGTATTAAGTTAATATATTTAAAACCAATGAATATACAGGGTTCCTACTCAAATTTTTGTTTTAATTTCCCTGACTTCCCCTGACCAACTTTGGACAAATTACAAGATAAAACAGCATTTGACTTACTATGCACATATGTTTTGCTTCTCCAGCATTTTAATTAGTTATTTTATATTTTGTTTTATATTATATATTAGATGCTAATTAACAGTTATATATTTTTTATAATTGCCAAAATTGCTTCTTGTAATGCCAAAAACTTTAAGAAAAATATTAATACTATCAGTGTTATTATTTTTTAGTTGAAATATTACTACAAGAACTTTTGACAAATTACAGATTGTCTTCTTCAGGCACAGAATAATGGATAGAATAATGGATCTTTTCAAAACTGTTGACCTAGACAATAGATTTGTCCCAACATAAGTCCCTGACTGGTTTGAATTTGAAACCATACAAGGTATCTACAATGCCATTTTACAGCCAAGAACTGAACAATGTACATGCCAGTTTTAAACCTGTTAGGGACTTGTGTTGGAACAGACCTAATATTTGCCAGAGATACTTGCAAGTTAGAATTTTAAAAGTATATTTTCTGTCACTCTTAGCCTAGGAATAAGATGGGAATAAGTTTGGGTGGGGTGTGAAGTTAAGGTGTTTAACCGTTAAAATAAAATACTCACAAATATTTTTATAAATTTATTTTGTTTCATCATAATTTCACAATTTCTATGAAAACCAGCTTGTCCGGGTGAAAACCAGCATGGTGGCAACACTAATAATGGAATCTTAACAGACCCTTACAATTTAAAATATATGTTAATGTGTTTAAAATATACATTAATTTGCCATTTGAAACACATTCATGTATATTTTAAATTGTAAGTATTCCATTAAGATTCCTTTATTCTGTACCTGAAGAAGACAATCTCTAATTTGTTGAAAGAACTTGTAGTAATAATTCAAGTAAAAAATAATAATTCTGATAGACAGTATTAATATTTTTCTTATAATTGTTGAATTATTAAAATTAAAATGTTTTATTAAAATTCTGTTATTAATCCATAACCATAAATCTACATGGCTTTGAAAAAAAGAAATAAACTCAATTATTTTTTATTATTCATTAACAAATTCTATATAATCCATGTACAAAAGTATATATTTATTAAATTTATCTCTTAATCCTGAACTTTATAAAATATTAATAAACTGGAAGAAATATCAGAAAGTGTTTTGTTACACAATCAAAATTATTAAAATGAAAAATGATAAATATTACCATTTAAATTATTTATTATTTTGTATACTTTGTAAATTTTTGGAAAAATTTTGTGTAAACTTGGGAGAAATTTTGGGTCCTGAAAATATTCTGTATCCCTTTTCATAAGTTGTATTGCACCACATTACTTCTTGCTGTTTGCAGACGGGTATATTTAGTCAAAGCAAAAAATCAACAGGGCAGCCAAGGAAGCAAATTCCCTGATTTTTCCTAACTTTTTGACAATAGTGCCTTTGACTTAGTTTTATGCTTTTTTTGAATTGTGTTTCTGTCAGCATTGCTTAAAGAATGTGAAATGGCTCTATTTACTCTAGCACTCTGATGGAAGCTAGTTTGTTTGCACTTTATTGCTGAATTTCTAATGAATGAAAGGTTCAGTTGCTATATTTTTAAAAACATTAGTGTGCAGACTGTAACTATTTTTAAATATTGTTAAATCAAGAAAATCCTACTATAATTACAACTAGTGAGTAATGGAACAATACCTACTGAATTATTGTTGAATGCATCTATAAACTTTTGCACTACTTGCCAACTTCTCTAAAGAATAAATATATCATCTATGTACCTAACAATGCACTCAATATCATTTTGAAAATTTTTAGTGCAGGGTTTTCTACCCATCTAAGTACTATTTCAGTGATGTCTGTTTTGTAAGTAACATTTATCACCCCAATAAAGGTAAGAATTATTTACGATTACATCAATACATTCCACTATTGATTTAAACTTTTCTAATGCCACTTCATCTTTCTCACATATGAGGGTTGTTCAAAAAGTTCGGGAACTTTTTGAACAACCCTCATATGCTATAGCCTGGTAAGGAATGTTGCAGCCAAAATGTAAATAGAAGAATAAAGACTAACCTAGTTTAATAATGTAAGATAATCTTTTGCATCTATGGTAATGAATGATACTGTTTTAATTACTTCTAGAGAGGTTTTAACTGTATAATTTATTTGACAGTTGCAATAGTAAGGAAGATATGTAATGCTTTAAGAACTGGTCTTAGTGGCATTTTTTTTTATGAATTGTACCTTCACCATACCAAACAGTTTTGTTGTTGGAACTTTGGTAGGGGTTTTGCAATGTAGAAATGCAGTGAGTTGTTTATTATTATCATGTTATAGTTTTGGTTAAATTAATCCTGAAAATCAGAACTTTATTTCATTTAGCCTCTTTGGTGTATGGTGTAATTTTAAAATCTCATTTCAAATATGTAAAAATAAAGCAAAACAAATTATTGAGTTTTCTTGGAAATAAATTATCTAGTAACAGAATTTTTCTGAAATTTTTGTTGAGTTTCTGTTAATAGATAATTTATCTGATATCTGTTATAAAAGATTAAAGCACTTCTTCACATATCTCTAAAATATATGAGCTATGAATATTCATGATAGTTCTCAACACTACTGAGGAAACAGAATGATTAGTGACATACACTGAAGTTTTTAAACTCTTAAATTACCCCAAACAATACTTGGGGTAATTTAAGAGTTGGTCACAAAAGAGTATCAAAGAAAATTCAATATTAAGTCTCAAGCATTAGTGAATACATTTATTTGATCATACAAAGAAAGTTTATTTCTATTGCTATATTTTAATTTCTCTATTTATATTTTAATTATAAGTTTTGTTTATAGTAAAAATGAAATAAAATTTAAATGTAAAATGAAACTATTCCTTACTGGAGATCCAACAATGTTGTTTACAACATCTTTTCCATCACCGGTTGATGTCATTTCTGATTTTGATATGTTATTACAAAGACAAAAGCCAGCAGGACCAGGTGGTCCTGGAATACCAGGCGGTCCTGGAATACCAGGTGGACCTGGTATTCCAAAATAACTACTTGTTCCACTCTGAAATTAAGAATGTATTTTTAAAAGAAAATTAAAATGAAATGATTAATCTTAATTATTAAATAAATTCATAACATCAAAACCTTTTAGATATAAAATTTTTAATCCATATAAAATGAATTTTAAAAAAATTATTTAATGCAGTTACAGAATTCAAATGAATGACTTCCATGTGTAAATGTAACTCAATACTATTTATTAATGCTAAATTACAATTTTATCAATTTTCTATTAAGTATGGCAACTGAAAATTTTAATATCATCATTAATATATTTCAAAATTAATCTTACAAATTTACAAGACTCCTATCTGCAATAGAAACAGTACTATAGTATTGTTAAAAAGAAATTAGTAATTTTTTCACATTAATAGTTTCATGTTCATAGTATAGATGTAACTGGAATTTTTTGTATCAATGGTGTTTGTGAAATTAGTATTTCTATCCCAACAGTACCATTCTTCAGGTTTTTTGCTGCCCTTTTTGTCATCTTTGTAAAGTTTGTAACATGATAGGTGTTTCTTTCTGTCATGTTCACTTTTGTTCATGTGTTTATTTTCTTAAATTAAACTTTCTTTTTTTATTTCCTGTTTTACTATTTTTTAAAACCTCCAATGCAGATAGTATGCAGACTGTTGTGAATTGACAGTATCAATTCATAAAAAGAAGACTTTCAAGGCAGAACAGGATGTGATAAGGTAACAATGATGCCAAAGAACACCTCAGTATATTGCCAATTTTGCAATAGATGACTGCTGGTTAGTGTGTAAAAACCAACCAACTTTAGATGTCCAATTGAAAGTGGATGAAAATGTTCACTTGACTAATAAGTGATAGTTTTGATGGTTTTAGGTTATTGGGTTATTTGAATTGCCAATTTTTTAGAAAGTGAGTTGATATAGTTATTGAGCTGCAATTTTCAAATTGCAGACTTATAAATTCCCATGGCTGTCCATCTGTCTGTCCTTTCTTAATCTCAAGAATGGAGTTAATTAGATGAAAATCAAGACCAGACAGGAAAGCTTAAGGGCCAGAGGCTCCAATTAACTAAATATGAACTTCCAGTCTGGACCAGAAGTCACATGATTTTTTAAATTAAAATATGATTGATTAAAAATTGCAAACTGGCATTGTGACAAAGTCATAATAAATAACTGCTCATTAAACATTAACTTTTCACCAAAAATGACACTTAAATTATTAATAGTATGATGAAAATTAATATGCTGTTTACCTATTAAAAAAAAAAATAGAAGCAGATTTTGTAAAAGGGAATTACACATTGCTAGTTTTATTTATACTGACATAGAATTATATAATCATAGTTGATCAACAAATTTGTTTAAATCATACCATAATTCAGAAGGATCAGAATTTATTAGCTTAAAATCACTAACATATGCAATCATAATGGAACTAAGTATTAGGAACTACAAAATCCAGGTAAGCAATGAAAAACAGATTACTCAAAACAGAGCCCTGAGATAATATGCACAATGAAGGAAAATCATTAAAAACAAAATCACCAAGTTTAATTTTAAAAGTAAAAGGCAAAAAATAATTGTTTTATCAGACAATAACAGCAGGATGAATATCAAAAAAGTTAGGAAGTATATCAAGCAATAAAGAAGGTATGTGATAATAGAGCGATCTTGGGGACAAAGATATAAATTTTTAAAACAAAATCTTTAATTTGCTCAACAAGATACAGATTACTTTTTGGGATGCCAGCCGATATCTCTCCCAAAAACGAATATATAATAAGAGGCAAACTACAATTTATACAGAAGCTATTCCCAACTATACTTATGCGGTACAGTTCTTTCTTTTGGTCACCGAATTAATATATCTTATATATATTTAATTTGATATATCTTACAACTAGGTACTTACGACTAACTATAACTAGTTTATATAAAGGATTAAGTTGAAAAAGGAAGAACCAGGACAGAGAATAGAAAAGGGGTACCCAAAAATCTGTGTCGATGTTTCCGTTATGGTGGGGTGAATGGCCAAAACTCCTGGGACAAGGGATGGATAGTCTCTTCACAAAAGTTTCCTCTTCTACTGAGTTCGAAAGATCGATAATATATCCAAATACTCTCTCAGTTCAATCTTCAATTTTTCTTCTCACAGCCTTTGTCTTCTCTATGCAATGCTATAATGCACTGGAGAGCTCTCTTCCCACATCCATCTTTGTCAAACTCCTCCATCCAAAAGGTACACGTGCTATCCTTATTGCCCTCAGAGTAGCATTCCCTCCATTGTTCTACCTGGATTACCCATCATACCCTAGGAAAAGAGGGTTGAACAAGAAAATTCTAGACAGAAAGGACAATAGCAGAGAGATCAGGGGAAAAAAGGAAATATACAAAATTTACAATATAAAAGATACGTGAAAATTATGGCATGCAGCCACAGAATCGAAAGCTCAACTAACATTTATATAGATACAAGGTCTGTTCAAAAAGTATCGGACCTTTGGTCGGCAAAAATAAATTTATTGACTTTGAGGTACAAAACCCTAATCCCCTTCAAAGTAGTCTNCCCCTCTTGGCATGCAACCCGTTCGTTACGCTGCCTCATCCCGTAAAACAATACAAAACACTACACGGGTAACATAATTAAATATATAAATTAAATACAGTATATACAAGGTAGAGTCGAAAATAAATGGGAGCTTCAATGTCAGTTGGTAATACTAACTACTTGATCATTCCATGTTTTACAAAGCTGTTTTTGAGTAGATTTACTGAGATATGAGAATACTACCCCAGTAAAAATAGTAGATCGAGTGAATGCTTCTGAAGTGTAAAAGATTGAAAATAAAAACAATGGATTAACATTAAATTTTACTGTAGGTTTGAGATATCTTGTAACAAAACTCTAAAATATTGAGTCTACAATGATGACACTATATTGAAGGTCAAGTATATGAGGCCCAAGCAATACTCAAGTTCACGTGTTAAAAATATCATAAAGGTGTCAAATCAAGGGATCAGGCTTTGATTCTAACACTCATAAAAATTGGAAGAAAAACGTAAATAAAATCGGCAAATAATAAAATTATTAATCAAGAGGAAAAAAAGTTTTTAAATAACCTTAAAAGGAGATGCAGTGCTGATATTATGTTTCAGACATAAGAATTTGAAACATTTAAATATGAGCAGGAGTTTCAAGGTGTGATTAATTTCCCTTCATCAGATTAAAACACAGTATCAAATTAAATCTGTGGTGGCCCGAAATGGTCTGTTATCTGCTTAGATACAGGAAACCGACCAATCAAAAGCTAGAGATCTGGGAAAGAGAATCTTTTAAAAACCTGGATCTCAAGGACAAAGGCAGACCCCTAGTGAAGTTAACTGTAGAGACTTCTTCTAGACTTCTCCCAGCCTCTGATCAACTATCCAGACTTTTCCTAGATAAACTATAGTCAACTGTCCAGACTTTTCCCTGCCTCTACAAGTGAATACCATCCTGTTTGAACTTTGGGCTATCACCTTTCGTCACAACCTCCCACACCATCAAGTATTGACTGACTACCCCAAGGACAACAACAGTCCAGAGCCATCAGAAGACAAGACACTCTAGATTGTAAGACTTAGTATAAATAAACGGGTTTGTTTGTCACTGTAGCTATTTGCCTTACTTTCCTTTATCCCACATACAATAAGTCCTGACATTTGGATATCACCAATTCGGCAACCTTCACAAGTATAACAATGGTACAAGAGAGTCAAAGAAAGTAAGGAAGATGTGGAAGATAACTCACATCCAGGCATATGCAGATCAGCTACAGTGTGTAATTCAGAAGTAATTGCTAAGATTCACGTGGGAATTAGATGACACTATTGGCATCATAGATGATCTCATCTATGATACTAATAGTGTCATCTAATTCACTTCTGTATACAGAGAAGACCTAATTTATTTGGCCTAAAATCTAGGTACTTTTAACTCATTCTGATCTATGGGCACTAAGAGAGCCTATTTTCCAAACCCATCATAGTGGATTCAGCCAAGTAGTGAAGGCATAGCCAAACATATCTAAGACAGCCTGCCCAAGAAAAATTCCTGGGGAATTGCTTCCTTGGATTTTATCCCAGGTTTTCCCAGAACAGTAGGCTAACATTTTAACTTCCCCAGCAATCCAGGTGTCTAATTTGGTTATTTCACTTGGGTCTATAAGTAAGATTCCCATGACAATCTTAATACATTGCATCAAACTTTCAATAGCCAACAACCTAGCGAAAACAGGATTTCTGTGCTCCTATTCCCATGATATAATGGATTTTTATATTATCATCTTTTTTGAGATTAAAGAAATGTCTGAAGATGTGTTATTTTTCATCACAAGAATTTTTGAGAGTGCTGTGCAATATCTAAAAACAGGTTTAGAATTACTACTGGTCATGGTAAGAATAGTGTCAGAAATGACAGAAAATGGTCATTAATTCAAAGGAAATGTATTGTAATTTATATCACACTTTTTCCCATTTATTTTTGGCAAATTTGATAGGAATAATATGATATATGTATGATTTATGACTAGCATATATATAAAGATCATCATACCAGTTCCTGCTTTATTAGTGCACAAAAATGCAAACAAGAAAACTTCAATGACTAACAAATTTTTTTGACCATATTAAATGATCATCATCAAGTTAACATATAACACAACTCATAAACCTCTGAGTGAACTCTCAAAAAATTCACAGGTTAATATATTCAAAAATACAATGTACAATTTTAAAACAGATGGAATACAATCTCATTGGCAGAGGTTGGCTATGACAAGGGTGACATAGCCATTCAGTAAAGGTTTTGAGATTGTGTTCCATCTGTTTTAAAATTTGTACATTCAATTTATATTATATTTTCAAGTATGTTATGATGATGGTGATTGAATATGGTTGAAAGCATTTATTAGTCATTAAAGTTTTCTTGTTTACTGAAATTTTTGGTTTTTTAGAAGTGTTTATTGTATAGTTTTAAACTTCTTTCTGAACTTCTGATGATGAACTAAGGAAATTTGAAAGTGTTAGGAATAAACTGTTTAAAATTGTTTTTTCATTTTCCAATGAAAGTAGGAAGTGGTGTAATTCTGATTTTTCAAGAATTAGAGGTTAATGTTGGCTATTATATGATAATATTAATATTGATATTAATATCCAATGGATCTCTGTAAAATTAGGATAATTACATTAATATTACATAATATTAGATTATTATATATTTTAGATTATATTAATATTAATACTGATATACAAGGGGGTGCGAAAGTAGATATATAGTTGAGAATCTGAGAAATACAAATGTTTGCTGTTCATTATTATTATTTTTATTATCTTTTATTAGTTCATATTCCTTATTTGTGATTTAATTTGTACATAAAAATAAATGTTTTTCTTCCTATTTTCTCCCTGTATGTTTTTTCTCCATAATAACAACTGTATACCTACTTTTGCACCCCCTGTATAACACTGAAAGCATAAAATAAAAAGATCATATAACTTTTTATTTTAAGCTTTCAATATTATATATTTGTAAAAATAAAAAATTTGAGAACAAATATATACATAATTTCCAAATTATCTTCTAGATTTTTTGATACATGAAGTGACAAAATTCATTCATTGAATATTGATATCATGTTTAGTTAATAGAAAATGATTAAATTATAAAATTATGGTTCAAAATGCTATTAAACCGATGTATAATAAGATGAATAAGCACAATTATTAACTACAAACATTACATAGGAGTAGAGTCTATTAAACAAAATATATAATTATTTATATTATTAAATGAAAAAGTAATTTTTAAAATTATAAAATTTTTAAAGTTACTTACATCAAAAATAGCACGATGTGTTGCGGGTGGACCTGGCGGTCCGGGAGGACCTACATATCCACGAGGTCCAGGTGGCCCAACAATACCAGGTGTCCCATCTTTCCCAGGTTCACCCTTAACTCCAGGAAGACCTTGCAACCCAGGTGGACCCTTAGTTATTTCATAATAATAAATACTATACTTAAATTCTATTAATAAAATATATTGGTTAATATTACATAAATTAGTTTATTTTATGTATTTATATTACACTGATTTAACCTAAATTATATCAATTTTGTGAAGATAAAGTTTATTTCTCTATAAAAACAATTAATTCAACATTAATATTTTTTATTCAAAAATTTTCTGTAAGATTGGAAAAGTGTAAAGTATTTATTAACAGATTTATAAATGACTTTTATTAATTGATCACACATTTAAATTTAAAAAGATATAAATTTAGCAGATTTTAAACACTACTTACTCTTTCTCCTTTCTCACCTGGTGGTCCTGCTTCATATATAACACCTGGTGGACTCTAATTTTAAAAAATTGTATCATTTAACAAACTTTCAATAATTTACAATATATTTTAATAAATAAAGAAATCTGGATAATTGAATTCTAATATTAATTTAATAAATTTCCAAATAAATGTTTTATTAGAGTACAGGGTACATTATGTAACAAAAATTACCTTTATTCCAATAAAATATTTATTTTTGATATATTAAGTAAACGAAATTTATAACGAAGTGAAATCAACATAGTAAAAATAATTAATAAAATGCATATTTTACATATTTTCTATTTTATTGGGGCTTTTTTACAATTTTAATAAAAATAATTAATACTTCAAATAATTTATATAACTTTGGTGTATCATTTATAAATAATTATTTTACTATCATTTTTAAATCCTGTAAAATCTCCATGTTTTAAACTGACTGGAAAAATGGAGTTTTTCCTTCAAATATTCAAATAATGCAATTAATTGAAATAGGATCTCTCATTAATATGTATAAAAAACTATTTCAATAACATATTTACAAAATTTTTAAATGGAATATTTACAAAATATTATATAACTTAGTTTACTTATGACCATATTTTTCATTATAATTAAAAATTATCTCATTAAAATATTATGCAATGACTTAAATAAAGTACTTGACTTTTGGTATTAAGTTAATATATTTAAAACCAATGAATATACAGGGTTCCTACTCAAATTTTTGTTTTAATTTCCCTGACTTCCCCTGACCAACTTTGGACAAATTACAAGATAAAACAGCATTTGACTTACTATGCACATATGTTTTGCTTCTCCAGCATTTTAATTAGTTATTTTATATTTTGTTTTATATTATATATTAGATGCTAATTAACAGTTATATATTTTTTATAATTGCCAAAATTGCTTCTTGTAATGCCAAAAACTTTAAGAAAAATATTAATACTATCAGTGTTATTATTTTTTAGTTGAAATATTACTACAAGAACTTTTGACAAATTACAGATTGTCTTCTTCAGGCACAGAATAATGGATAGAATAATGGATCTTTTCAAAACTGTTGACCTAGACAATAGATTTGCCCCAACATAAGTCCCTGACTGGTTTGAATTTGAAACCATACAAGGTATCTACAATGCCATTTTACAGCCAAGAACTGAACAATGTACATGCCAGTTTTAAACCTGTTAGGGACTTGTGTTGGAACAGACCTAATATTTGCCAGAGATACTTGCAAGTTAGAATTTTAAAAGTATATTTTCTGTCACTCTTAGCCTAGGAATAAGATGGGAATAAGTTTGGGTGGGGTGTGAAGTTAAGGTGTTTAACCGTTAAAATAAAATACTCACAAATATTTTTATAAATTTATTTTGTTTCATCATAATTTCACAATTTCTATGAAAACCAGCTTGTCCGGGTGAAAACCAGCATGGTGGCAACACTAATAATGGAATCTTAACAGACCCTTACAATTTAAAATATATGTTAATGTGTTTAAAATATACATTAATTTGCCATTTGAAACACATTCATGTATATTTTAAATTGTAAGTATTCCATTAAGATTCCTTTATTCTGTACCTGAAGAAGACAATCTCTAATTTGTTGAAAGAACTTGTAGTAATAATTCAAGTAAAAAATAATAATTCTGATAGACAGTATTAATATTTTTCTTATAATTGTTGAATTATTAAAATTAAAATGTTTTATTAAAATTCTGTTATTAATCCATAACCATAAATCTACATGGCTTTGAAAAAAAGAAATAAACTCAATTATTTTTTATTATTCATTAACAAATTCTATATAATCCATGTACAAAAGTATATATTTATTAAATTTATCTCTTAATCCTGAACTTTATAAAATATTAATAAACTGGAAGAAATATCAGAAAGTGTTTTGTTACACAATCAAAATTATTAAAATGAAAAATGATAAATATTACCATTTAAATTATTTATTATTTTGTATACTTTGTAAATTTTTGGAAAAATTTTGTGTAAACTTGGGAGAAATTTTGGGTCCTGAAAATATTCTGTATCCCTTTTCATAAGTTGTATTGCACCACATTACTTCTTGCTGTTTGCAGACGGGTATATTTAGTCAAAGCAAAAAATCAACAGGGCAGCCAAGGAAGCAAATTCCCTGATTTTTCCTAACTTTTTGACAATAGTGCCTTTGACTTAGTTTTATGCTTTTTTTGAATTGTGTTTCTGTCAGCATTGCTTAAAGAATGTGAAATGGCTCTATTTACTCTAGCACTCTGATGGAAGCTAGTTTGTTTGCACTTTATTGCTGAATTTCTAATGAATGAAAGGTTCAGTTGCTATATTTTTAAAAACATTAGTGTGCAGACTGTAACTATTTTTAAATATTGTTAAATCAAGAAAATCCTACTATAATTACAACTAGTGAGTAATGGAACAATACCTACTGAATTATTGTTGAATGCATCTATAAACTTTTGCACTACTTGCCAACTTCTCTAAAGAATAAATATATCATCTATGTACCTAACAATGCACTCAATATCATTTTGAAAATTTTTAGTGCAGGGTTTTCTACCCATCTAAGTACTATTTCAGTGATGTCTGTTTTGTAAGTAACATTTATCACCCCAATAAAGGTAAGAATTATTTACGATTACATCAATACATTCCACTATTGATTTAAACTTTTCTAATGTCACTTCATCTTTCTCACATATGAGGGTTGTTCAAAAAATTCGGGAACTTTTTGAACAACCCTCATATGCTATAGCCTGGTAAGGAATGTTGCAGCCAAAATGTAAATAGAAGAATAAAGACTAACCTAGTTTAATAATGTAAGATAATCTTTTGCATCTATGGTAATGAATGATACTGTTTTAATTACTTCTAGAGAGGTTTTAACTGTATAATTTATTTGACAGTTGCAATAGTAAGGAAGATATGTAATGCTTTAAGAACTGGTCTTAGTGGCATTTTTTTTTATGAATTGTACCTTCACCATACCAAACAGTTTTGTTGTTGGAACTTTGGTAGGGGTTTTGCAATGTAGAAATGCAGTGAGTTGTTTATTATTATCATGTTATAGTTTTGGTTAAATTAATCCTGAAAATCAGAACTTTATTTCATTTAGCCTCTTTGGTGTATGGTGTAATTTTAAAATCTCATTTCAAATATGTAAAAATAAAGCAAAACAAATTATTGAGTTTTCTTGGAAATAAATTATCTAGTAACAGAATTTTTCTGAAATTTTTGTTGAGTTTCTGTTAATAGATAATTTATCTGATATCTGTTATAAAAGATTAAAGCACTTCTTCACATATCTCTAAAATATATGAGCTATGAATATTCATGATAGTTCTCAACACTACTGAGGAAACAGAATGATTAGTGACATACACTGAAGTTTTTAAACTCTTAAATTACCCCAAACAATACTTGGGGTAATTTAAGAGTTGGTCACAAAAGAGTATCAAAGAAAATTCAATATTAAGTCTCAAGCATTAGTGAATACATTTATTTGATCATACAAAGAAAGTTTATTTCTATTGCTATATTTTAATTTCTCTATTTATATTTTAATTATAAGTTTTGTTTATAGTAAAAATGAAATAAAATTTAAATGTAAAATGAAACTATTCCTTACTGGAGATCCAACAATGTTGTTTACAACATCTTTTCCATCACCGGTTGATGTCATTTCTGATTTTGATATGTTATTACAAAGACAAAAGCCAGCAGGACCAGGTGGTCCTGGAATACCAGGCGGTCCTGGAATACCAGGTGGACCTGGTATTCCAAAATAACTACTTGTTCCACTCTGAAATTAAGAATGTATTTTTAAAAGAAAATTAAAATGAAATGATTAATCTTAATTATTAAATAAATTCATAACATCAAAACCTTTTAGATATAAAATTTTTAATCCATATAAAATGAATTTTAAAAAAATTATTTAATGCAGTTACAGAATTCAAATGAATGACTTCCATGTGTAAATGTAACTCAATACTATTTATTAATGCTAAATTACAATTTTATCAATTTTCTATTAAGTATGGCAACTGAAAATTTTAATATCATCATTAATATATTTCAAAATTAATCTTACAAATTTACAAGACTCCTATCTGCAATAGAAACAGTACTATAGTATTGTTAAAAAGAAATTAGTAATTTTTTCACATTAATAGTTTCATGTTCATAGTATAGATGTAACTGGAATTTTTTGTATCAATGGTGTTTGTGAAATTAGTATTTCTATCCCAACAGTACCATTCTTCAGGTTTTTTGCTGCCCTTTTTGTCATCTTTGTAAAGTTTGTAACATGATAGGTGTTTCTTTCTGTCATGTTCACTTTTGTTCATGTGTTTATTTTCTTAAATTAAACTTTCTTTTTTTATTTCCTGTTTTACTATTTTTTAAAACCTCCAATGCAGATAGTATGCAGACTGTTGTGAATTGACAGTATCAATTCATAAAAAGAGGACTTTCAAGGCAGAACAGGATGTGATAAGGTAACAATGATGCCAAAGAACACCTCAGTATATTGCCAATTTTGCAATAGATGACTGCTGGTTAGTGTGTAAAAACCAACCAACTTTAGATGTCCAATTGAAAGTGGATGAAAATGTTCACTTGACTAATAAGTGATAGTTTTGATGGTTTTAGGTTATTGGGTTATTTGAATTGCCAATTTTTTAGAAAGTGAGTTGATATAGTTATTGAGCTGCAATTTTCAAATTGCAGACTTATAAATTCCCATGGCTGTCCATCTGTCTGTCCTTTCTTAATCTCAAGAATGGAGTTAATTAGATGAAAATCAAGACCAGACAGGAAAGCTTAAGGGCCAGAGGCTCCAATTAACTAAATATGAACTTCCAGTCTGGACCAGAAGTCACATGATTTTTTAAATTAAAATATGATTGATTAAAAATTGCAAACTGGCATTGTGACAAAGTCATAATAAATAACTGCTCATTAAACATTAACTTTTCACCAAAAATGACACTTAAATTATTAATAGTATGATGAAAATTAATANAGCGCTCTACATGACCTCACTCATAGGCCGATTGCCAACGACTGACGCTTCCTGCAGGCGGGAAAAAATTCAAAGATGTGCATGACTGTCCCCTCCACAACTCCACCAAAGGAGGCCTCTCGCGCATCATTGGTTTACGCGGAAAAAAATAAGGTCCGATACTTTTTGAACAGACCTTGTAAATAGGCATATCCTTTACTTTCAAAACTATTGATATTAATTATATTGGAAAATGTGGAAATTAAATTAAAAATAGTGGATTTATGATGATTGTCACAATGTTGCAGAGGTTTTATTGTGGCATAATAAATGAAATCATAGAGATATTTTTGGAAAATTTTAAACATTGAACAAGAGAGCAAAATAGGTTGATAGGAATTGCAATCTTTTTTTAGAGATATCAATAACAGTGGATACCATTCATTAGGAACATATACTGTCTATATAATTTCAGTAAAACGGTTAGTAGAGTATAGTGGCTGCAATGGGAATAATAATATAAAAAGTATTGGAAATTAAATATGGAATGTAGTAAGAGGAATGTAATTTTGAAATAGCATTACAAATTGAGAAATAGAAAAGGAAGTTCCAGGAGATTCATAATTCATCAGAGTAAAAGGCTTGAAAAAAGATTTATTTGAAAAATGTGCAAACATTTTTAATCATATTTTTAATTTATTAAATTTAAAATACACACTCTTGATGTCAAATTAGTAGTGTCTTACCCCTGTACATTTCTGGATAACAAGCGAATCATGACAGTTATCTATGTAACTCCGTTCTGGGGAAAATACTTTTAATTGAAATAACTTGACTTCTGGTTTGCATCGGAAGTTCATCTACAATTAATTAGGGCCTCCTACCCTTAAGGTTTCCATATCTGGTCTCAACTTTTGTCTATTTAACATCATTCACAAGATTAAGGAAGGACAAACAGTCAGACACACGATAATGGAAATTTATAGGTCTAAAATGTTTTCAAATTGCAGCACAATTAAAATTAAATGCCTTAAGTTGTTCATAAACTTAAGGCATAAAAGCATTTTATCTTCATGAATAAAATGTGAATAGAGGCTCTATATTTGGAAAATCTTGGAATAAACCTCCAGAAGGTTTTTGGATCCAAAAACAAACTGATTAATACCAAAATTAAAATAATCAATATATTTATTTTGGTAATCTTTATAAAATTTTTTCCCAAGATGTGATGAATGTAAAGGTATCTAGGGTTATTGGAATTCTTCGATAATTGTCTTGTTAATGTATTTTATTTTTTAGCTTCTTTAGGAGAGTACTAAACTATTTATCTAAAGAGGAGTCAATTTTTTAAAAAGAAACAAAGCAGTTAATAATAGTATGAAAAATTTTATAAATATATTGAATTTTTTGGCATATATTTTCTGATCATCCAAGAATGACCAATTAAGAGAACACAGAGATGGAAGAGCCATGATTCCAATTGGCCTGGTGCCATAAAGGCACAGAGATAAAATTTCAGTAAGAATTATCAATGGAAGATAAGAATAAAAATAAATCTAAAGATAATGCAGAATAATCTGAAGAAAAGCCTGTAACCTCATGAATATTAATAACTAAGTCCTTTGAAAATGCAAGATTGAGATAAGCCACATTTTGAGTTGGAAAAGAAATGTTCTGTTTAAAATTAAAGAAATGAAAAATATCATTGAATTAAAACTCGTTTAAGTAAATCAAGAGAATTAAAACAAGGACGATTATTAGGCCATAAAACATCAGACAACTTAAAATTATCCCAAAGCAATATTTTATTTTAAAGCTATTAAAATTATTGTAAACATTAAAAATTTAAATAAAATATGAAATATAGAAATTCTTAAAGTACTGGATGCATGTATAAAAATGATACATAAAGAGAACATTGCAATCTCAACAACCAAAATAGAATCAAAATACTCAAATACTTTCACAATTTTCAAATATGGATATATTAATTTTGTTAATACTTTTGCTGTTGATTGATGCAATTTTGCATCTTTCAAATGCCAAAAGTTTTTGAGAAATTGCACATGTGTTATTTCTCAGATATCTGAAAGTGTAAGAATCATTTTAGAGATTATATTTTATTGTTTGGTTTCTTACTTTCCCAGAACATATTTAATTATAATTTCATCATTTTATCCTTTGATAGTTGTCATTAACTCAATTATGTGTCATCATATATAATTCCATAAAGATTGTTTGAAATAAAAAAATTTTTTCTTAATTAGTGTGTAACAATGACTTTATGAAAAAATGAATTGGCATATTTGGTGCAACTTTTTTCAATGGCAGCAATGAAAATTTTAATGAAATTACATAGAAAGTTATGCATGGAGAATCAGATGGAACCTTTATTGTTGAAATTGAAAATCATTTTCAAGTTCAACAAAATGTTATAACTTATGTTGTAACTTTTTAATGAACAGAAGTAATGTAAAAGTTCCAATGACAAATTTAAAGAGCATCATTTAACTAATCTAACATCGTTTTCTAGATTCAAATACTATAAATATGTTTAGGACTGCATAATTTGCAACTTTAAATTTGTGAGGAGTGATAGTAATTTTAAGTGATGTTGAATGACCTCATTTTCAAGGTCAAAAAAATGTTCCTTTCAATTTTCTTTGCATAACTTATGTAACTATTGTACAATAACAAAATTAATATATCTTCAGTACTTTTGGAATGAAAAAGATGCAAGGGAATTTTGATTCACTCTGTATATGGTTTTTGTATGGTGTATTGATTTAGACAACATTTTGTAAAATACAAATTAACATTAAAGTATGAAATTAATCTAAAATAAGTATAAAAACCATTTAAATACTGTACAATAAAATGAAAAAGAATATATAATAAAAAATATATTTTATATTTTTCATTATTTATATGTATTTATATAAATATAAAAAATTGATAAAATTTAAAAAATTATAGAACTGTTTTATTTGACTCTTGCATGTTATGTGGTGCTTCCTCAAGTTATACCATATCCAATATTGTCTTTTCATGGCAAGATTGAAAAATTTCACTATTTGATAATTCAAAAACAAATTAATATTGTTAAATTTTAATTTTATGATGTTTTGCTACTATCGTTAGCTTTTTTAACAGTTACTGTATAAAAATAAACATATAAATCTTATGTTACAACAGTTCTTTGACTCTGTGGAGGACCCCCATGATGTCTTATCACAGACCCTATATTTCTTAGCATTGAGATCAACACTCCCTTAATTTAGGAGGAGATGTCCTTCAGGATGGTGAGAAGATGTGAACAGTGTATGTGGGTAGTGGCGTTAGACACAGAGGTATGAACTCTGTTTACATTTAACACCCATTTATTAAAATACTAAAGACATCTTACATAAGACAGGAGACCTTCATGGTCCTTAAAACTAATGCACACTGTCCAAAGGTTGTGATGTTCTTACAAATGATAAGATACCAAAGTTTGTTGCTTCTTTGGCAAATCGGAGTTCTAATGGACTGTCCACTTGTAAAGGATATGAAGCACACAGGTGTGGGTTTTCGTATCCAGGTTCCAGCCAGAAAACCTCTTGGCTTTGGGAAATCCCCTTTGGTTCTTTGTGGGAAAATCTCTGCTGGCCTAGTGGGGTGAAGAAGGACTGTTATATTAGTGAGGTGAAAAAAGCTCCTCCTATTCTTGAATTCAGGCCTCTTAAAGGTTTCACATCCCTGATCAAATGCTCTGATTGGTCATTATGTTCATCTTCTATACTTCTGATTGGTCCCTAGTTTGTTGCCAGGGCCAGTGGAGACAGAATTTGGAGATCAGACACATGCCAATTATGTTTATTGAATTTTGTTGCAAATCCACCTGTAATTCAGAGTCAAGAATTTTTACTCCAGTTGTAAATATTACCAGCTACACTCAAATGACATTTGGTTTTATTATACATTCTATCTTCCTGTTTTTGTGTTTGTTGGAGAAAATGGCCAAATTCCTGATCTGCTCTCTCATGATATTTTATTTATCAAGAACATTTTAATTGAAACAACTTTTCTTTTAAAACAGATTTTGGTTGAGGTTTCAGACTGAGGTCAAGACCTCAACTCTATAAAACTCAAAATAAAAAAAATAAAATAAAATAACTAATCTTTCATCTGAGAATTATTTCAAATACCAAAAACATACCTACAAATTACTTTGTTCCAACTCCATTTTGGCTGTTAACACTCTCAAAATAACCTTGTTTTTACCAGTTTTTCAAAAAAGATAATAAAACTATATTACTTTAGAATATGATTATCATCATCTTCATTGGTAAACAAATTGAAAAGAGCCAACAAATATGTCATTTCTTCAACAGTATGCATAACATAAAAAGCTGCCACATTGTGCTATTTGCATTGACATGAAACAATGAATCATTTACAATATAAAACTTTTGTTAATGATAACTAGTTTCAAAATTCTAAAAAAACAAAATATTTTTAATTTTTAAAATCAAAAAAGTTCAAATTTTGTTCTCATTTTTTTTTACACAATACATTTTTCATTTATATTCATAATCTATTTTGGCTATATAGTTCTATTAAGCTTTGCAACTGCTCATAGCATAACGTAGCTCCATGCAACCTGGGAATACATCATATAAATTGGTGTGACATGGCATGTAGGAGTCAAATAGAACAGCACTGAATTATAAAATATATCAGTATTTTCAGACAACCTACCAATTCATCTTGATCACCAGAACCTGAATCAATAGAATTCATATTGACGCCACCTCCATAACCAGGTCCTGCTACACCATATATACATTCACCCTAATATAATTATAAATTGAAAAAGTTAATAACAAGTTTTAATAATTTGAAAAGTTATAATTAATAGACCTCTCAGATACCTTTGCTCCAGGTATACCAGGTTCACCTTTATCTCCTTTTAAATAAGTTAAAGAGTTTATCACGAGATCTGTAATTTCCCCTGGATCACCCTGAAAATTTAGTGATTTTTCTTAGAAAATTGGAATTCAAAGTATTTAAGTTATATAGTAAACTAAGCCTAAAATTATAATTTAATCAAATGATAAAGCCATATTCATTGGACTTGAGCTTTGAATAAAATGTTTTTAGGCATTTAGTCATCTTTTTCCAAAACATCTTGCCACAGTTTGCTTTGACATCCCCTTATCACACTTGCATATGGCCAAGTAACTATCTGATTTGTGGCACAGAATTGATTGTGTTTTGCCATCAGCAGTATATATTGGTCTTCCTGCAATATATTATTTATATTGTTCCAATGATCCCAGCATTATCATTTGATCGATTTTTTAAATTTTAATATTTTTTTATATTACTCTAACAACAGAATTAAAATTACTTTTTGCTTATTTATTACTTTAATTCCAAATTTTTGTAATTAAACATAGTAAATTACAGTAATTAATCTAAAATAATATATGTAGGAATAGTAATAGAAAGGAAAATAATATTCTAGTATTTGTAACCGTCTAGCATCCATAAGAGTCTTCTATCATCCTCGCATAAGTCTGATGAATAAGGGGAGACAACAGTTGGAGAACTGTTGTCTCCCCCTTCTCCTTCACAACCTCTTATTTATTTTGTTAATAGTTTAGGAATTTGACTCATCTAACCCCACACATAAGCATTTTTCTAAATGCTTTCAATCATTTTAAAGTATAAGCCTCATTAAATAACGGAGTAGGCTACCTTTGTACTTTGTAGTAATCAGAATAATAGAAGCCTCAACTATTGATATTTCTAAATAAATTACATGTAAAATCAGTGGCGTACTGTGGATGTCAGCCGCCCAGGGTGGAGGAAAATTTCGCCCCCTTATTTAGGTATTTCAATTTAAAAGACCAAAATCCAGTTTTGTCACAGAACAAGCAATGAAAAATTCAGTGGTAGTGCAGCAACCTGTTTAAAATAGTTCTATTGGATACTAATGGTGTATATGAACGTGAATGAATCATACAAGCAAAAAGAAAAAGGTCAACAGGTTTCGCAGGAATTCCTCGGATGAAAAAGTTACTAGTTCACCCGGCGAGCCTATTCCTGGACTGTCCGCACGATAGCACTATCGTAGGCGCGATGCAAGTATAGATTAAGATGTTTCAAATTTTTACAAGATATTATTATTATTTATTGTGAAATTTTCTGCCCCCTAAAAGGTAATTTTGCCACCCCCTAAAAAGTGCTGCCGTGGCGGGCTGCACCTGCCACCCCCACTACGGTATGCCACTGTGTAAAATCAAATAAATTGCCAGAGTGTATATACATTTAAATTTAAATCATAAAATGTAAAATATAAAAGTTAAGAAAAACGTTTTAATTTGTTTATATTTTTAATGTTTTTATTAAGATCTTCAATATTTGGTAATTAATTTAAAACTTAATTGTTAATCTGAGACTAGGTGACTCAATTTTTATTAGATCCAGATAGTGTCATAACTAGGTAGGTGCAACAGGTGCACCCGCACAGGGTCCACTTGAAAGGGGAGCCCAAAAGGCATATATTTGTTTTATTATTTTCCCAAACCTAATTAATTACGAAGCCTAAATGCAAATTCTTCCACAGGGCATAGGAATGGCTAGTTACGGCACTGGATCCAGGATCCGGAATGAAATTTAGATGAGCAGTTCTCCAATAATTTTTCATGGGAACCCATTTCTCACCACCTGGCCCGCCAAACCTTCTCAATGGGTATGATTTAAAAGGTACTCCTAGTGATTACAGAGTGAAAACATAATTTAAAAATAAAAGAAAAAAGGTCCATTACATGTGATATCCCAAATAAATGGTTATGATGAATGAAATTATTTTTAAAAATGTATAAAGTTTTTGTCTAAAAAACTTTATACATTTTTATTATTATCACTGTCCAACTTAGCTTATCTAATCATTTAATCTAATCGAATCTAGATAAAAATTGCTTACTTTTGGTCCAGGTAATCCCGGGTCACCCTTCTCTCCCTTCGGACCCGGAGGACCAGGTAAACTAGACGGTCTAGAAATACCCGGTAGCGCTTCGTTGAAATCAGAAATATCTGAAATAATTTTAAAAATATTTTAACTTTGTGTATTTCAGTTAAGTAAATTTTATCAAAAATATAGAAAATAAAATACCATCAAAGTCAGTACCATCTTTCGGTCCAGGAGGAGGAGGAGTAATTAATGGAGGTGGATCTAAGAAAATAAACTCGTAATTAGTAAATTTTATATTTAAAATAATACAACTAAATAAATTGAAGTAATTGGATCTATCCGGCAACGAATTGATTAACGTTCCCGGCAAGAGTTAAAGTTGTGTGTGGCGCCATCTGTTACGAGATTTTATTTATTTATTTTTTAAAATTTATATTATTAATTATTACAAACTGGCAAAAATCTTAATTCTTAAGGTAGAGATGAGTTTTATATTTAAAAAAAAATTATAAAAGCTAATAAAGAATAAAATCTTCATTAAATACGACCTCGCCGGATACCATCCATATTATACCAAGATTTATTGCAATATTGCATGCAATATTCTATATTATCCGAGAAAGTAGAAAGATTCTTATACAGGCGACCTATTTAACCATACTTTTATGATCTTCGAAGATATAATGTAAACAAAAGCAATTTTTTATACGATGCAATGACATGGATAATCAGGCATTTCAAAGTCAAATTTGTACCCAATTTTGACTTTGTCTACTGTTTTTTCAAAATACCGTAATTACAATCCGTAATTATTTCATTTCTTAGCCACGAGAATCACTGTTGTGAATTATAATTTATATTCGACAAAAATTCAAGATAAAATAATATTTAAATCATTTAATTGACAATAATTAAAAAGAGTTTCTACAAAAACGATTGAATAAAATTCATAAATAAAAGATTGCAACGTTCCAATGACAAGCAAAATAATGCATTATTAAATTTTGATTAAATGTCATTGAATATTAAATAAGATTATACACTTAAAACTGTACTAACGTATTAAAAATAAAGTAAAAATATTTAAAACAAAATTACGTTACAATCGATATTTATTAATGAGAATTGACTCACTTGGTTTTCTTGGTTTAATTTTTCCAAAAGCTGCATTCCACAAGGTTAAATACGAATTATTTTAAATAATTACACATTATTTAATTGTACAAAATTTTAAATAGTTATTTGAATGCGATTATAAATAATTAATGTAAATAATATTTTTCAACAGAAAATGCTTTTTTTTTTGAATAAATATTTTAAAATATCCAAGTGCTTTAAAGTTACAAACCCATCCGTACATTGAATGTCCAATTACAACATTATTTTTCGGAAACATTATTCAAAATATCATGCAAAAAGAAAAACAAATAAATAATTTAGGAGAGAGGTGATTATCTGCACGAAAGCTAAACACGTAAAACGTACAATACTCAGTAAACATTTTATTGTACTAACGTACAATAAAATGTTTACTGAGGCCATGTCGAATCGGCTGATAAGCAGGCTGACTAAAATCGTCGGCACATAATGAAAGTCCAGTACTGTCGGCAATGATTGAAAATTACAGAGCTACCATCCCCGGCAACGGAACAATTCCCAACAGATTATACAATCTGTAGTCTTTTTGACATGGTAAATCAATGTAAAGCTTTAATTCGACTATTAATCATTTTACGTTTTCTTTCTGGTTCCTAAATCAGACTGGTTTTTGTAATTCGTTCCCAAACAATATTTAAAAAGTCGATTTTAAATCGCAAATTCACTACACAAGATGATGTAAAAGGTGTTAGACAAACTTTAAAGGTAGGTTGGGAATACATAAACAAATCATTTTTACCTTAAAACATATACAGTGGCGCATTATCTCATGGACAATTTCCTGGTGTTACTACCAACAGGGGGCTTCAAACCGATCTTTTATAAGAAAATATTTCTCCAAAAAATTCCCCCGAAGAAAAATGTCTGAAATCAACACTGTACATTGGATCCCCTAATTCAAATTCTCTGGGCCACGTGAACACTGAGCATGTAGTGTTCTAATAAGCATGTTGTGTACAGTACGTGTGATTTTTCCTGCACTTAGCAACTACAAATGGTGTTTGCGGCTATTTCTAGATAAAAATGATTTGTTTTGTATTCCTTACCTACCTTTAAAGTTTGTCTAAGACCTTTTGAATCACACTCTATTTATTTAAAAATATTATATTATAATTTCATATGAACTTTGTTTAATTATCATTCTATAAATGTATAATAACTTATAAATATTTTATTCATTTACCTGTAGAGTCTGTTTTGAAACTATCTGCATCATAACTGCTTCCTTCACCCGATGGTGACGCTAATAAATCATCCTTAAAAAGTTAAAAAAAATTTAATATTAAATATAAACTTTAAATATTTCTTCGAAATATAGTAATATTTTAAAATTAATAAATAATTTACACGAGTGTATTTTTAATAAATTACCCATAGAAATAATTAGTGGTGATTATAGATTTGATCAGAAATGTCGCATAAAATGGCGTTTTTGATTAATTAGCAAAATAA